GCATCATCATCGTCATCATCATCATCATCATCATCATCATCCTCACTATTCATGCTCCGTCCTCCTCAGATTCCTCATCCTCTTTTCCTTCCTCATCCCCGTCCTCCTCTTCCACCTCCTCCTCCCCGTCATCCTCCTCATCATCCGCCCCCTCATCCTCCTCATTCTCTTCCTCTTCCGCCTCCTCCTCATCCTCCTCCTCTCCATCATCATCCCCATCCCCCCCATCGTGCCCCTCCTCCTCATCCTCCTCCGCCGCCTCGTCCTTCTCCGTGTCAGTTCCCTCATCGTCCTCACCATCCTCCAGATCATGTTCCTCCTCCTCGTGCTTATGAAATTCTATGAGTCGATCGATTTGGTCGAGTTGGAAAGCCGTGCAGAGTTCTTGGGCTTCCCGCCTCAGCTTTATCGAGTCAGCGCTGCGGCCTACAGAGGCCCCCATTATCTCAGCATGGCCAGTCAAGTTAATGGACTACACTTTGCTGAGAGTGGAGTGATAGCAGGCTCCTCTATCGCCACGTCATATGCGCGTGTATATGTGATTCATACGGTTGACCAGGTCTCATTCTCTCCTACGACTACACTCGATATATACATTGACGACTACGGCATATCCTCGACGGGCAGCGCTAAGCAGGTCACATCCGGCGTCTCCCATAATGTTGCCCAGCTATTATTGGGGTTGACGTCTGAGATGAAGTCGGCCGTTGCTCAGGATAAGTCTTCGGTTATCTGTTATTATGCCACGGTAGGCCTCGCTGTGCACGATGCTCTAGGGAAGTACGGAGGAGCTACGCTCGCTGATTCCGCCGCCAACTTAGGGATCGACGACACCGTTGGACGAAGCAGACGACAGAGAGGACGAGGTAAAAAACATCGAGAACGTTCCAAGCTGTTCAAACAAAGGACCAAAAGGTTCAAGAGAGCCAAGACTGCATTAGGAGCCCATCTTCGGCAAGTTTATACGAGTGGCCCCATAGTTGGCCTCAACTACTAGCTGGCCTCAACTACGGCTCGGAGGTTCACGGAGTCTCAGATTACGAGTTGAGTTCGTTCAGGAGAAGCTTAGGATCGGTTCTTCGACCTTCGGCAGGAATGCGGTCTTCGAAGGCCCTTCTCATCCTGCACGGCGACCCCTCGTGGTTCGGAGCAGTAGCACCAGCTGTCAGATACGCCAAGGAGGTGTACGCCACTCACCTTAGGCAGCTCACGCACACCCTCCCTTTCAACGTCCTTCGCGAAACTTGGGACTCGGCGTTCGCTGTTCCTGAGGCGGAGCTTTCTTGGAGGAGAGTTTCAGGCCCCATGATGGCCTTGAGAATGAGTTCGAGGGGGATAGGATGGTCGATGCCGAACTTCAGCGTGATGAGGAACGAGTTTCAGGAGCATACTATTTAAACTACGTGCTCTCGCCTGCCTTAGTCAAGATCACGTTGACCAAAAGGTTCTTGAGGCAGCTCGAACGAGATGCAGGTAATAATCTGGGGGTTGAAGGTCGGGCGTGTGTTTCGACATCGTGGCAGGCCCCCTGAAGTCAAAGAAGTTCTCTTACTTCGAGAAGGGCTGCATCAAGTCACTCACGTGCGGCGCTCTCGGGACGAGAGACCGTGCAATCGAGCCAGGCTACCAGCTGCCTTCGCTTCAGTGTCCGCTCTGTAATCAGTTCCCAGATGGAGTGGCATCGACTCTGGCAATGCGCTGCTTGCAGCGATGTTTGAGAAGAGCTAGTCGATCAGCCGATCGTAGACGCGTCCCTCGCCATAGATTACAATAACACTAAGGATGCGCTGCTGTATGCTAAGGGAGTCTTCGAGCACCCAGGGGATCGATTACCACGCCCGAGGACTTCAGGAGGTATTCAAGTTCAACTCCACGAAGCTGAGCTCCCAGGGGACCCAGGTGAAGTTTCAGGGGCGACGTTCATGGCCCGCGCATGCACTAGGCATCCCATGAGAGAACTTAGCAGAGCCTCATGGGGACATGCACAGGTCACCAAAGGGGAACATAAGCAGCCGGTCAGGGTTGCGGGGCCAGTTTGGGGACCTCTCCCGCAGACTCCCCAGGCGGGAGAGTTTGGGGCTTTGGCGATGGTGACCAACAATCTTTCGGGTCCTGCGGAAGGTTTCTCTGTCTGCAAAAACGTCGTGGGTCTTTTCCAGATGCCGCAGTCGGAGCGTTTTTCGCACAAGCGAGTTTACGCCGGCACAGCGATGCTGGCTCAAAACCCTGTGCAAGCTGACCCAAGTCTCACTGAGCAGCACCAGCGGGAGAAATTCCGTAATGACGCAGCCGATGCAGCAGCAAAGCCTGGCGCAACGTCTCACCCAACAGGAGAGACCCCACCGAACTTGATCAGATTGAGTGGCAGGTGAGCGTGTTTGCTCGCGGCCCGACATTTGCCCCTGCGGCCTGCCCTGGACCTCGCGGGGACCCAGCCGGCCCCCAGAGCGCCTCGCCAGAAGCCCCCTGCCCCACCCTCTTCTGCTCATGAGTGGGAACGGCACAGGACTTATTGGAGGTGTACAGTGTGCCTCAAGACAAGAAGACGCAATCCCGATTTTGTTATTGGCAAGAGCGAGCTGCCCCCCGCCGACGGCTGCTCGGGCGAAGCGTCAGAGTCGCTGCAACAAGTAGGAGCCAGGGGACACAAGTTATTGAGTTTCGATTGCAGCGATCGATCGATCTCACTTGCTCATTTGTGTTAAGTGCAAAGCCGTTTCCACTTTGGGCCCCTTGGCTCTGTTGGCAAAGGAATGTCAGGCCCCGACCCGCAACAATCTAAGGAGGTGGAAGTATAGAGTGCTGAAGGGGCGACACCCGAAGCTCGACGGCGTCGCCATCGAAGCGTCGCCCGAACTTTTTTATACCCTCGAAGCCGAACCCCAGCAGCCAGATCCATTTGTCGACCAGTCGTCGTCGTCTGCCAGCGTCCAAGCTGCTGGCCCATTTGTAGCTTTGCATTCCTTTTCAGGCTCCATAAGACGGACCAGGTGCAGAGGTGGGCGGTGACTCAGACTGACTTTTCTATCTTGTGTTGCGACCTTTATGTCTTTACTTGTTTCAGTCCAAATAGGCCCACGCCAGGGATGGGGCTTGTTCGTCGCCCTGGCGTTTTCTACATCAGGGGTGGACATTGCCGAGTCGTCCAGGTGTCGCCTAGGGCGCATCACATATTTGCGCGCGCGTATGCGAGCGCGCCCAGCACGCGCATCAGGCACCCCATCTTTGGGGGAAGGAGCGTTGCACAGACATCTTGGAACAGCCTTCGTTTTGCCTAGGCCCCCATGCAGGTTCGATCTGGGGTTTTGTCTTTTGCAGGTTGACGGTGCTGGTGTCTCGCAGCCAGACCTGGTACCCGAGCTTTGGGGTTCCGCCAGCCTTGAGAGGCTGGCCGTCCTCTCCACTGCAGTGTGCTGCGGGGCTCACCGCTTGAGCTTTGGGCACGGGGGTGGGTTGGGTTTGCCAGTCCAACCCGACTGCTGCTCAGTCCCAGACAGCTCCATTGTTCCGCCCCGGCCCTCCGCTGGGGTTCCTTCGGGGGGCTGCGCGTTCGATCAGGTCGGCGGTGCTGGCTGGTTACGCAGCCAGCCGTAGAACCCGAGCTTTGGGGTTCCGCCTGCCCTTCCCCCCCTTTTTTCTATTTGTTGGTTTGTGGTTGTCCCTGTTGCACGGCTGTGGTGCCCCTGTGGGCCTCCACGGTGACAGCTGCGCAGGGGCAGCCCCCGTGGGTCTCCTGGGCACGGGGGCGGACCTGGAAAGCCAGTCCGCCCCGACTGCTACTCATACCCCCCTTACCCCCCCCCATCTCGCGGGGTGGAGGCTTGGTGCTGCTGCGGCTCGTGTGCAACTACACTTGGCCCCAGCACTGCGTCAAGCGTCGGCATCAGTTGTTGTCGCTATGGCGCCGCTTCTCCGTTCGCAACGCCGCCCAGCGAAGCTTGGCTCGCGATGGCGAGTTCGCCCCGCCAGGTTTCATGCGCGTTCCCGATGGGCCAGGTGCAGAGCGTTGCTACGTCTCCCAGAGGCGAGGAGGACGAGGCTCCCCTGCAAGCTGCTCGCGCAAGCGCCGCGGGGCCTGGTGGTTCCGTCTGTCTTTTGGCGTCCTTGTGTCCGCGCGGCCCGTCCCGCTCAGTCACCGCCAAGGTCTTTCTTCCACTGGCAAGCCAACTGCTGTGCCAGTCATGGTTCATGTTAAAAAATCCTCCTCCTCCTCCTCCTCCTCCTCCTCCTCCTCCTCCTCCTCCTCCTCCTGTTCCTCCTCCTCCTCCTCCTCCTCCTCCTCCTCATCATCATCATCATCATCATCATCATCATCATCATCCTCATCCTCATCCTCATCATCATCAGTATCCTTCTCCCCCGCTTCCTCCTCGCTACTCCTTTTTCAACCTCCTCTTCGTCCCCTTCGTCCTCATCATCATCCCCCTTCGCCTTCCCCCTTTTCCCCCTCATCAGCTCCTCTTTCTCCTCCTCATCATCATCACCACCATCATCATCAGCATCATCATTCTTCTTCGAATCCTCCCCCTCATCCTCTTCATCCCCCTCCTCCTCGTCCTCAGCTTCCTCCTCGTCCGCCCCCTCCTCCTCTTCATCCTCCTGTTCCTCTTCCTCCGTTTCCTCCGCATCCTCATCATCATCATCATCATCATCATCATCATCATCATCATCATTCTCATCATCATCATCATCATCATCATCATCATCATCATCCTGCGTATGCTCCTGTTTTTCGTGGTCAACATCTTCTTCCTCACCATCATCAGCATCATCATCGACAACAGCACCATCATCCTCATCCTCATCAGCATCAGCATCATCGTCACGAGCAGCAGCATCATAATCGTGTTATATCTCATCCTCAGCATGTTCATCATCATCATCATCATCATCAGCAGCAGCAGCCGCATCATCATCATCACCGTCATCATCGGCATGAGCAGCATCAGTATCATCATCAGCAACAGCATCAACTTCACCATCGGCATCATCAGCATCATCAGCATCAGCATCAACATCCGCCTCTTCATACCCCGCAGCAGCATCCCCCATCCGCTTCTTAAATCCTCAACATCATCAGCATAATATTCTTCATCCGCGTGGTCCTCCCCCCATCATCATCAGCATCAGCATCAGCATCCTCCGTATCCTCATCATCCTCTTCCTCATCATCATCATCCTACTCATCCTCTTCCTCCTTCTCCTCTTCTCACTCCTCCTCTTTGTTATCCGCCTCCTCGTCCTCCTCATCGTCCCCCTCCTCCGCATCCTCCTCCTCAGCATCCTATTACTCATGTTCCTCCTCCTCCTCTTCCTCCTTACCAACGTCCTCATCCTCCTCATTCTCCCCCTCCCCATCCACGTCATCAGCCTCATCATCATCATCTTAATCCGCCTCCTCCGCCTCCTCCTCATCATCCTCATCCTCCTCGTCTTCCTGCTCTTGTTCCACCACCACCACCACCACCACCACTCCTGCTCAAGCATCTTCCTATTCCTCCTCCTCTCCTCAGTCTCATTATTCTTATCATCATCATTAGCGTCCTCCTCATCCGTATTATCTGCCTCCTCCTCTTCCTCCTCCTCATCCCCCCTCTCTTCTTCCTACTCATGCTTCATCCTCCTCCTCATCCTCCCCACCCCCTTCCTCATGTTCCTCATTCTTCTCCCCATCCCCGCAACCACCACTCCGGGTCCATCCTCGTCCTCATCCTCCTCGTCATCTTCCTCCTCCGCATCATCCTTCTCCGTGGGTTACGTGCGTATCCAGTGCGTAGGTCGCTCAACCTCATGGATCTTCTGGGCAGGTGGTGGGGTACAGGAGAATGGGCAAGAGGAGGGCGAAGAAAGAGTGAGGAGAAGGAGGAGCAGGAGGCGAAGGAGGAGAGAATGAGATGGAGGAGGACGAGCAGGAGGAAGATAAGATGGAGGAGGAAGGAGGAGGTGGTCGACGACGATGACGACATCGAGGGCGAGAAGGGGCGTTGCCCGCACGTCTCCCTTGCTCCTCGTCATTGCCCTCTTTGTCGTCCACCCTCCTGCTGTGCGCCCTCTGCGTCCCCACTCACCCCCCTCTCCCCCTAGAAGACCAGAGGACCTCCGCGAAACCTCGAAGACCCTAGAAGACCTTAGAAGACCAAGGACCTAGACTCTAGAAGACCCTAGAAGGCCCTAGGGCCTCCCACTCCCTCCTCATTTCTTCTCCTGCTCCTCCGCCTCCCGCACTCCTCCCGCCTCGTCCTCTCCTCGACGACGACGACGAAACGACGACGACGACGACGACGACGAGGCCGTCGGGGACCGCCGAAGGCCGCTGAGGTCCTTCGTTTCCTCGTCCTCATTCTCCTCCCCCTCCTGTTGCACCCCCTTCTTCCCACCATACTCATTATCCTGCCCCTCCCTTCTCGTTTTCCTCCTCCACCTCCTGCTCCTCCTCCTCATCATCTTCCTAACCACTCATCACCAGCATCATTAGAACTGCCAGCATCCCCCCTCCTCCGAATCGCTCGCCATCATCATCATCATCATCATCATCATCATCATCATCATCATCATCATCATCATCATCATAATCCTCATCATCAGCATCAGCATTATCAGCATCATCATCAGCAGCATCATCATCATCGTCAGCAGCATCACCATCAGCATTAACATCATCGTCATCAGCATCATCGACATCAGCATCAGCATCGTCACAAACATCAGCATCATCATCAGAATCCCCAGCATCGTCATCATCAGCAGCATCATGAATGTTAAAAGTGTTCTTGTTAACATCAGCATCACCATCAGCATCATCATCAGCAGCATCAGCATCATCCTCACCATCACCATACTAATCATCACCACCATCATCAGCATCACCATCAACCTAACCACCATCATCATTACCATCATCACCATCATCATCACCATCATCGTTGTAAGTTCTTCGGGGACCATCCGTTAAAGCTGGAAAGCGACAGACGAGATGAGCACGCCCACGCGCAAGGGTGGCACGCGCACAAACACCATCAGCATCGCCACGACCATCCCCATCATCATCATCAACATCGTCACAGTCCACAAATCACTTGCCAACAGTCACAAATCGCCAACCACCAGCAACCATAAGTTTCAAAAACACCATCCATCGCGAAACAGTGACCACCAACCATCTCCAATCATCATCGCAAGTCACTACAATCACTAATCATCATCATCATCATCAGCAGCAGCAGCAGCCGCAGCAGCAGCATAATCATCATCATCATCAGAAGCATCGGAGGCTGTTGCGAAGTGGGGAGGTTCGCTCCTGCCCCGCCGAAGCGGTCGGCTGGCCAGAGCTGCGCGCGAGCTGGCGCGAGCCTTGGACGGAAGCTGTGCATTCCCCGCTCTACACTGGCGGGGGTCATCATCACCACCATCATCGCCATCATCCTGTCGGCTCCTCCTCCTCCTTCTCCTCCTCTCCTCCTCCTCTCGCTCCTCTTCCTCCTCCACCTCTTTCGCCGCCCCGATCCGCAGCCCGTCGGCTCTGGCGCCCGCGCGCAGGGGGCGGCCACCGATGGATGCGGCAGCCGCCCCGGCGCGCACGTGCGCCCGCGCCCGCAGGGCCGCGCGGGGCCCTGCTGTTGGCGTGGCTCGCGCTCGCGCCCGCTCGGGCAGCGTCGGCCAGCTGCTGCCATGGCGCCCGGCAGACTCGATCGATCAACCGATCGAGGATCGCGGCCCCGATGCCGAGGTCTGCTCTCGTCGAGCGCGATCCACGACTCGCAGAGTGCCTGCTCGCAGACGTGCGAAGAGCACGTGCCTGCACCGATGGCATGCATCGTAAAGTCCCCAAGGCGGATCCAGGCCATGAGCGAGTAGTTCTTTTGCGAGTAGTGGAACGCGCTTGTCTATTCTCAGACCGTGGGTACCCCAGCAGTCCCGACCCCTGCCCCCATGGGCCGGCTCCTCCTCCTGAGCCATTCGTTGGCGGCCCCGGCCCGAAGATGGCCCCCCCGGTGGCAGAAAATTGGAGAAGAGCGCCAGCATCGAGAGGAACGTCATCGGAGGTCTGGGATTTGGCGTCGAAGATCGGCCCCCAGATCTGGCCCAGGCCTCGTTCTGGCCAAAATTGCGAGGCGAAGCCAGCCTCCTGGAGGCCCAGAAGGGCCCCAGAAGACGCCCAGAACCTCTCGACCCTCTCGTCAGAGAGGCTCCAGGACCGACAAGCTCGCAGCGTCGGAAGTCTTGGCCCCAGCCCCTCCTGCAGAGGTTCGGGCCGAACGAAAGGGGGGGATAGGGAAAGGGGAGGGGTACGAGATCTGCTGCATGCAGCTGGTTTCGGCCCCGCCGCCGGGCCCATTCCTCGATACATGGGCGCCTCCCGGCGCCGGGAGGCGCTGGGAAAATCAGCTACGTGAGCTGATTCTCGACCCTACCCTTTGCTATCCCCCCTTCGCTCCCCCCGAAAGTCTTGGCCCCAGCCCCTCCTGCAGAGGTGCTCGCCGAACGAAAGGGGGGGATAGGGAAAGGGGAGGGGTACGAGATCTGCTGCATGCAGCTGGTTTCGGCCCCGCCGCCGGGCCCATTCCTCGATACATGGGCGCCTCCCGGCGCCGGGAGGCGCTGGGAAAATCAGCTACGTGAGCTGATTCTCGACCCTACCCTTTGCTATCCCCCCTTCGCTCCCCCCGAAAGTCTTGGCCCCAGCCCCTCCTGCAGAGGTGCTCGCCAGCAGATCCCCGGCCTCGTGCACCAGGTGTGGTTGAGCCCAGCCAGCGCCGCAGGCTCTCGTGCGCACGGGCTCTGGTGCTCTCTCCTCGTGTGCCTCCTCGTCCTCCGCCATATACTCTCTTCCTCGTCGTCTCCCTCCTCCTCCTCCTCCTCCTCCTCCGCCTCCTCCTCCTCCTCTTCCTCCTGCTCCTCCTCCTCCTCCTCCTCCTCCTCCTCCTCCTCCTCCTCCTCCTCCTCCTCCTCGTCCTGCTCCTCTTCCTCTCCGCAGAGGGCTCCTACACCACCGTGCCTGCCCAGAGCCGTCTTGGGCCCCGGGATATCCCTTGGAAGGTCCGTGTCGTGTCGATGCGGCGGTGACCTTGCCGCTGGCGTTCATGGTGGAACGCCGCCAGCGGCCCAGAGTTGGCCCACATCGAATATGTAATGAGTTGGCGATCGAAAAGCATCCGATCGTTCAAGATTGAACGATCCACGCGGTGTTAGAAACCGACGCCGAAGTCGTCAGTTCACGAACTTGCCCTATGGACCGCCTCGGCTTTTGCGAAGTGCATCATGCTTCTCCGCGGTCAGACTGGCCGCGCGCGCGCTTGGAGCTGCCAGCGGTGGTCCATGCGACCTGTAGAGCATCGGAGCGTCGACGGCATCGGCATCGCTCCGAGGCAGGCACCAATCGCCCCCAACCGAGAAGCCCTGCGGGGGGGGAGGGGGGGGGGGGCGTCGCGGAAGGAGAACAGTGCGAGATCGCCCAGCCCTGCTCCTGCGAGGGGCGTTCTCTTCCTCCTAGGGGCCTCCTGCAGCCAAGCGAGCGCGACTCCAGAGTTGACCCGTCAATCTCAACATACCCAGGTCAAGGCCGAGGAGACCAATGTCTACCTCTGCACCTACAGCTACGAAGCTATGTTACCCCATGAATTCCAAAATTCACAGTGCAGGGCCGAGGAGACCATCGTCTACCCCTGCACCTACAAATACCAAGCGGGAGTACCCTGTCAATCCCAACACACACCTTCACTCACAACTACCAGGCGGGCAAGGCGGTCATCGCCGACAACCACATCGACGCCGACAGCAACTTCCAGAGGAGGCCGCTGGGTTCACCTTTGCCGAGCTCGTCACGGACACGTCAACGTACGTCAGCGGTGGCTTCGCCGTCGAATTCAAGTTTCTATGGAATATCTCACCACGCAGATTATGTACCAAGTCTTGCGGGCTAGTCCCAGGCCCAAACGTCGCCACATGGCCTTAGAATGCAAATCTTGGGTGGGGAACGGCAAGCCGGCCTTCCATGTTCAGCGTCCCCAGTTGGATGATCGGAAGGCGTTAGATCACATAAAGATCATGGGCGACAGCCAATCCCATATTCGACGTCGCATGCTGGATCCTCGGAAGGCGTTAGATCGCATACGAACCCTGGGCGACAGCCAGTCACAGGTTCGACGTCGCATGTCGGATTTTCGGAAGGCGTCAGGTCGCACAATCATGACACTGACGCGGTCTCGGCTGCGGGCTCCGCTGGGGGCATGGAGCCACTCGCCACACCCGACCACTTCTGGATAACCACGATCAACGTTGCGTGCTCGACCGAGGCTCGAGCCTGGAGAGCCAAGACCAGACCGACGTAGGCACATCGTGGGCTTGCAGGAGATCGGGCCAAAAAGGCTTGAGAACTGGATGGGCCCCTGCCACGGCGGCCGCCTCTGGCTGGAGCGTGGCCTGCAGTGCCCCACCATCGCCCTCGGCACCACACGAGTACGACATGGAGGTTGCGCTACTATGTGGCTACGCTCCCTGGGTCGCATACGAGTGGTGCGCGACAAATTCTTAGATCATCGGGTGATTGGTATCCGTACGGCACAGGCTACCTCCTTCTCGGCATATAGCCCATAGTAGTTGGACGTGGTATGGTTTCAAAACATGTTCAAGCACTTTTCCACTCTGGGTCACCTGGGACACCCTGTCCACATCGCCGGGGACCTCAATTGGAAACCTACTTCCGCGGCAGTGTTGCAGATTGGCTGGCAGTCGCACATCATGTCTGATGGTGATCCTCTTGTGACAACCTGCGGGTACAGCACCAAGGCGAGCCCTCTAGTGGGGCTCTCCTCAGGCTCCGCCTCCCAGGGACAGGCGAGGGTCCCTGCTGGCAGGAATCCCCCACCACTGCCTGACGACGTACACAAACTGGTGGAAAGTCTTGTTGGCGACCACTGAAGTTTCTCCACGAACTCGGCCAATTCTAAGCGTGCTCAGCACGCTCTTCGGATCATGGCACGCGTGCGGTGTTTGCATATTGTGATACGGTCTTGTCTGGACACTATGGAGGTAGACGATGTGAATGTCGACCCTCGTTCGAACAAAATGTTGGCGAAGTGGGTGCGCTCGATCAATGATCACGAACGTCTCTGCCTCAGCATATTCCGAAGCGGAGCTTTCACTTCGCAGACGGAGGAGGCGAACGGGCAAGAATTGGAAGCGGCGTGGGGCAATGTGGCCGAGTAGGAGGCATGTTGTCACAGAGTACCCACAAGATGACACGCTGCGCGAGCGGCTTAATGAACAACCTAGCTCTCTTCCTAGAGTGTCGTCTAAATCTGGATGGACCAAGTGCTCTATTTCAGAGTATGCCCTTGAAGGGGCCCAGATGCTTCTGGCCGTCTGAAAGCTGGGCGTGGGCATTGTGAAGCTGGGTCTCGAGAGAGAGAAAGAATGCTGCATGACCCAAGGCTGGTCCTGCGGAGGGCCCCTTTGTGACCAGGTAACCACCCGCGGATGCATCGACCCCCTTCGGCAGGATGGCATTTTCCCTCACCCCCCGTTTTGAACACAGTCATGGGAGGGGCTGGTTGCTAAGGCAGGGGTCCGAACATCCTCTGCCGCGACGTGCTCCGCGCCCCCTCGGCGGCTCCTCGGCCTCCTCCTTCCCGCCCGCGGCCGCCCTTGTGGGCGTTTTCTTGTTCATGGTTTTGCCGATCGGCGTCGGCCCTCGCCCCCCACCTCCTCCCCTTCCCATGGAGTAGATCTTGGCCGTTTTGGGCGCCTGTTTCGAGGAGGTGGGGTCCCTCCCCCATCGGCCGCACGGCTGCAAACAGTCGCACTGAGCAGAGGTCCAGAGCCAGACCTCCCCCCCCCCCTCCCCCCCCCCTTCCGCCCAATGTCGAAACGCCGAAAACAAAAAAAAACGGACACCTCCCTCGTCACCCTTCGGTACTTGACTCTCCCCGCCGCATCCTGGCTGCAGCCTCGGCCGCTCGACCGTTCTCGTTGCGCCGTTGATCCTACAAGTTAGCGACGAGCCCCCATCCCGTCAGGGTCGAGGCCCGTGCGGTCCCCCCCCCCGTTGCCCCGCGCATGTGCGGGCTCCCTGTCAGAAGCCAGGCGAAGGCTGGCAATACCGTGGCTGCTAAAGCGGAGCTCCAGGAAAGTGTTGTTTTGTTCCGGGAAGCAGCCCGTTTATTATTTAGCACGCTAAATTTTATTCCTGGAGTTTTTGTTGTTCCTTCCGGGAAGACCGTTTTAGAATTTTGGCCCAGTTTCTGACTTTGGTACATGGGCCAGGGTTTGCGGACGACGTTTCTGCTGTGATTGCGCGGCAGTGTTCGCAGTGGTCAGTTCTGGGACGGTCACACGGATGGAGATCAGATCGTTCTGAAAATGAGGTAGTTGTTGAGAAATTCCTTCTTGAAGTATCGTCGTACCTTTTTGCACTAGTCAGGTAGATGGAGGTTGCATCTTTTACAAATGGGGCTCTCGCTCGCGTGGGAAGCCCACCTGGCTCTCGTCACAACGGGGGCTTCGCGCAGTGGACAGCTATATGTGCAGGGATGTATGAGGAGAAGACGTGAGACGAGAAGGGTGTTTTACAGCATCTTTACCGCGGCCTGGGTTTACTCGTATTCCCCCTCCTCTCCCTCCATCCGATCGATTTTATGTATATGTGTGTATATATACATATATATATATATACAGAACTGATCGCTGTCGCATGCCCCTGACTTGTCTGTGGGCTGGGCCTGGCGCTTTGCGTACGCATTACAATTCCGTATTCCAGAGCCTCAATCTCCCATCAGTTAGATCGACGGAGGCGTGATGTTCAAAATGTGGTTCTCGCCAAAGCGCCATGCACATTGGCCTGAGACATGTTCCACCGATACACGGACAGAGGGCCAGTGGCGTTCTAAATGTGTTTCGCGCTATAGCGCCGCTCACATTTCATTCAAAAGTTTCCAACCGCTGCTCGGATGTAGGGCCGGTTGTTTTGAACACGTGGTCCCCGCTTTCGCGCCTTGAACATACGGTGTGCGAGATCCGGCAGTTCGACGGATGGAGGCCAGCAAGTGTTCAAACTAAAGGTGTTCGTTTGGGATGTCATCCAAATGAGTGGAAAGCCAACAGCTACACGAACGGAAGGTGGTTCCTTTTCAAAACGAGGCCCTCGCCTGAGATCTCGTCGGCTCTGTGCCAGGATTCAGAGGCCAGAGTGCGGAAAACAGCTACACGGATGCAGAGTGGTTCCTTTTCAGAGCGGGTTTGTTGGTGGGCAGTGCTTTGAAGTTTAACCCCACCTTGTCGCATCCCGTCTAACTCGAAGGATGAGGAGAAGGAGGAGGAGGAGGAGGAGGAGGAGGAGGAGAAGGAAAGCGGAGGAGGAGGAGGAGGGAGGGAGGAGGAGGAGGAGAGGAGGAGGAGAGGAGGAGGAGGAGGAGAGGAGGAGGAGGAGGAGAAGGAGGAGGAGGAGGAGGAGAGACGAGACGGAGGAGGCGGAGGAGGAGGAGAAGAGGAGGAGGAGAGAAGGAGGAGGAGAAAGAGGAGGAAGAGGGGGACGAGGAGGAGGAGGAGCAGGACGAGGAGGAGGAGGAGGAGGAGCTCGAAGGTTGGAGGGCGGTTTCCTTCAAACCGCCGCTCTCGCCGGCATGTCGGGCCCACGAGCGCTCGTCTTCCAAGGGGGGCGCTTCGCTCAGTTAGATGGAGGCCTGCAGCGATTAGCAAGAAAGGGGGCTCGGGACGGCAGGGTGTATTGCAGCGTCGTTGGTGCATCTCGGGTTTTCTCTGGTCCTGGTCCTCCTCCTTCTCCCCCTCCTCCTCCTCCTCCTCCTCCTCCTCCTCCTCCTCCTCCCTCCTCCTCCTCCTCCTCCTCCTCCTCCTCCTCCTCCTCCTCCTCCTCCTCCTCCTCCTCCTCCTCCTCCCCCCCTCGGTCCGCAGCCTCGATCCTTGAGCCGCGGTCCTCGCTCCCCGATTTCCTCCCCCCTTCCTGGGCGAGGCGACTTGGAGCCCCAGAGCCCGGCGCTGCGGGAGGCCATCGACGCTTGGGGCCGCGCGGCGCGCGGCGCGGCGCCGTGCCCTTGGGAGGGGACGGCGTCGGGCACCGTCATTTCGACGGCGGCGACGGCGACGGCGACGGCGACGGCGACGGCGACGGAGACGGCGACGACGACGACGACGACGACGACGACGACGAAGACGGCGACGACGACGGCGACGGTAACGGCGACGGCGACGGCGACAACGACGACGACCATGGCCGACGACGAACGAGGGCGAACAACGACGACGAATGTCGACGACGACTACGATGGCGGCGGCGGCAACGACGACGACGACGACGACGACGACGACGACGACGACGACGGCGACGTCCGTGGGCGGAAAACATGTCCGTATCCGCGGCCTCGCGGGCCGGGCCCTCGGGCCCTGACCCCGTGGGGACGGGGCGTGTTCTTCGCGGGCGCCCCGTGCGGAGCGCACCCATGCGGCGGCGCAGCTGCGGGAGATCGCGGCCCAGAGTCCAGACCGCACGGGCGTGAACACGGGTACGCTCACCGCTCGCGGCCACAGTCGTGGCGGCCGCGGCCTCGCGTGGCCGCCTCGTCGTCGCTTGCTCGCTGTTGCGAGGAGCAGTTGTCCGAAGGCTTCGGACGACCTCCCGTCCTGAGGAGATCACGGCGCGAGGTTTTGGATCCTCTTCGGCCTCTTGGGGTCCTCGCCAGGCCACGACCGTCAAGCAGCGTCGCAGGATGGAAGACCGGCGAGACCTCCAGAGGTCTGCGTTGTGAAAACGGGTCGGATGGCGTGGGGGGTCAGGGTGGAGCGTGAAATTTCCAGCATTTGCACGAACGGAGGGCTGATGGTTTAGAACATGTGGGCTCGCCTCAGCGCAGCGCACATTCGTTTCCAAAACCTCCTTAGGTGCACGGACGGAGGCGGCTGATTGTATGTGGGTATGGTTTCGGTGACGGGCATTTGTTCCCCTAACCGTGCTGGCATTTGAAGGTCTTTATTTGTTTTTTGAGGAATTGGGCCTGTGCCTCGGTCTGGCAGCTATGTTGTCGCCGTCGCCGCCCCATCACCCCCTGGTCGCCGCCCATCTTCTGGGCCTGTGCGTCGGTCCGGCGGCTATGTAGTCGCCGTCGCGGCCTCGTCGCCGCCCCTCGTCTGGGCTGTGCGTCGGTCTGGCGGCTATGTAGTCGCCGTCGCCGCCTCGTCGCCGGTCATCGTTTGTGAGTGGATGGCCAGGAACTGCATGTGGAACGGAACGTGCTGATCTTGCGGCCGTCCACGCGAGAGTTCTTGGAGCGCCGGTCGCCGGCTTCCCTGTGGAAGGCGCGCAGGGAGTTCGACAAGAGAGCGTGGAGTTCCAGGGTTGAGGCGGAGCAGCTCGCGGCACAGCTGGGTTTCGCGTTGCCTCCCGCTTGAGCATGGCCGCGACTATCTCGAGACATGCAGGGTTGTCCCAACGGTCTGCTCCCGCGCCCCAGGGGGTCATGGGCTTTTCTTAACGGCCTGGCCCACAGGGTTGCCCCAGCGATGTCGCGATCTGGCCATCGGAAAACGCGCCCGTGTCGGCCGTGGCGACAACGGCGCCAAAGAACATCGATTCGCGCGTCATTGCTAAAGGTGCGGGCGAGGAGGTGGATGGGAGAGAAGGCAGGAGGACGAGGAGGAGGCAGAGCAGGGGGCGGTAAGAGGGCATTCGCCAAGACGAAAAGGAGAAGGGCGATAAGGAGACGGGAAAAAGAGTCTGCATTCACAAAGACGACGACGAGGTTAATTTCCAGATTCGTTTGAGAGGTTCCCACGCGAGGTTTTACCGTCAAACGTTTTGTTTATTTCCATGTAATCACAGCAGTACAATGATACCGGAGAAAACCAAAGCATAATCGTTTTGGGGCTATAGGGCCATGGGGCTATAGCGCTATAGGACCATAGGGTTATAGGACAAGTATATAGGGGTATAGAGTTATCGGCATATAGACCTATAGGACTAAAACGCTATAAGGCTATAGGGTTCGAAGGGCGATGGGGCTATAGGGCCATAGGGCAACTAGGGCTATAGGGACATAACGCTATAAACCTATAGGGCTATTGGGTTATAGGGCTACAAGGTTATAGGACAATAGAGCACCTTCGCATCCAGGCACCCCCCAGCACCTCCAGGCACCCCTGGGTTCCTCCGGGCACCCCCGGGCATCCGGGCACCCCCAGGCACCCAGGCACCCAGGCACACGGGCCAGCCACCGAAATCCGCGACGCACTTCACCTAACCATATGAGTCCGCTAAGCTAGGACCCAATACAGAGGCAAGTTCTGATTGGGGAAAAGTGAACCAACAAAACACACACACACACAACAAAAAAAAAATGAAACAAAAAAACAACAACAAATTCTTTAGGGTTGTAGGGCTATATGAGCTATAAGGCTATTGGGCTATTGGGCAATAGAGCTACAGGGCTATGGGGTATAGGGGTATAGGGCTATAGAGCTATAGGGCTATACGGCTATCGGGCTATTGGGCTATTGAGCTATAGGGCTACAGAGCTAGAAAACTGTAGGGCTAGTGGGCTATAGGGCTTGAGGGCAGCCCCGGGCACCCCAGGGCACGCCTGGGCACCCCCGGGCACCCGGGCACCCGGGCGTGCGGCGAAAATCGGCGGCAAACCTAACTTAACCATATGAATCCGCCAGGACCCCTACAGAGGCAAGCTCTGATTGGGGAAAGATCAGACTGGGGAATCCGAACTAAGGAATCCTTAGCAGGGAATCCTTAATAAGGAATCCTGCATGAGGAACCCTGAGGAAGGGATCTCCAATGTGGATTCCTCAATGCGGATCTCGAGTACGGAAGATTGAAGTGGGAATGCATGGAAAGGAAATTTTCGTGGGGAATGCTTCGCGGGAAATCCATAGTAAGGAGTCCCCAGCAAGGAGAAGCAATGAAAAAAAATGCAACAATGGATAATAGTGAGAAATATTTAGCGAGAAGTGGTGAGTAATAATGTCTTATTATGGAAGCCTTCGTAAGGAATCCCAAGTAGGGTTTTTGTTCACGAAATCCTTATTCCGGCGTCCTTATTACAGAACCCGCACAAAAAAGGCAATCCTGAATATGGATTTCACAGTAGGGAGGCATTAGTCCTGAGTCCCTAGTATGGAATCATGAATAAGAAATCCTGAGAGAAGGATCAGTAATTAATGAGTCAACAGTAGGAACACTTGCATAAGAACTCCCTAGTCGGGAATTCTGAGTGGGGAGCCATCAGTAGGGAATCCTTAGTGAGGAGCCATCAGTAAAGAACAGTCAACACCCCGTAAGGAACCCATGGCGAAGACATTCTCTGGAATGGTTCGTTAGTCGGAAACCTTCACTGTGGAATTTTCCGTAAGTTGTCTTGAGGAAGGATTCTTCTGTGGGGAACATTTCGTAGGAGTTCTTTTGTATGGAACCCTTCAATATGGACCCCTGCATGAGGGGTCTTTCGTAGGGAATCCTTAATGAGAAATCCTTAGTACAGAATCCTGATCAAGGATTACTGAGAAAAAGGAGTTCTCGTCCAGGAGTAATCCTTGGTAGGAAATCCATATGAGGGAATTAGTAGTATTCTTTAGTAAGGAACCATTGATAGGGAATGCGCAGTAAAAAGCCTTTCGTAGGGAATCCTTATTAAGGAATCCTCCGCATGGGAATCCTTATTACGGGTTGTCGATTTCGGATGTTATTGGAGCTGGGTCTGGCGGTAGCGGGACTCTATCAGAGCTGGACCCAGCTGTAGACCTATTGCATAAAAGCTGGATCCAGCCGTAACAGGGAGCGCATGCATGATCACGTGCGCCATCCGCGCGCTTTGTTGGGCTTGAACGATTGGAAATGCTGAACCGTCCAGGCCTACATCGGGTCAGCCGCCCCTCCTTCTCATCCTTCTCCACCTCATCCTCCTCCACTTCCTCATCTTTATCCTCCTCTCCTCATCATCATCCACCCCCTGCTCCACCTCCTCCCGCCCCCACCACCACCCCATCGTCATCATCATCACCTGGAACAGGAAGAGGGAGGAGAGAAGAGCAGCAGGGACCGGGATCGCACCGCGGCGACGATGACGGAGATGACGGCGTGGACGACGACGGCGACAACAGCGACGACGGCGGGCACGCAGCCGCCCGGGCGGAGGGTGCCAGCTGGGGGGTCCAGGAGCACGTCGTCTGGAACCGCACCTCGATCCGAAAGTTCTTTACCGAGGCGCGGGCAGTCGTTGTCGCGGCCGTCGTCGTCGCTGCCGTCGTCAGCTCCGCCGTCTTCGCTGTCTTCGTCGTCCTCTTCCTATACTCCTCATCATCATCATCCTCATCCTCATCCTCATCCTCATCCTCCCTCCTTCTCGTTGCACATGCTGCCTTCCCCACTCCTCCCTCTACCCATCACACCTTCCTCCAGACTGCTCCCTCCAACTATTTGTGTTGTGGTTTCCCCCAGCGCGCTTTGCGCGCCATGCGCTTCATCCACATCGTGCGCCTCCTCCTCCTCCTCCTCCTTCTCCTCCTCCTCCTCCTCCTCCTCGTCGAGGCACGGAGGAGAAGGAGGAGGAGGAGGAGGAGGAGGAGCAGGAGGAGGACCGCGTCTGGAATGTCTGGAACTGCACCTGAATCCGAAAGCGATCTGCCGAGGCCTCGGAGCCCGCGCTGCGCGACGGCTTCGAGCGGATGGCCGCGTGGCCCGAGAGGCAGAAGGACTTCTTCATGTACGTGGTGCTCAGCCGCCTCGGCGGCATCTTCGTGGACGCCGACGTGGTGCCTCTCCAGCCGCCCACGGGCTGGCTCGCCTCCGCCCGCGAGCTGTCCGACACCGCCGCCGCAGGGGTCCGCCTCGTCGTGGGGGTGGAGGCCGCCGCCGCCGCCCGCCCCGGCCTCGGCGCGGCCCTCGTCGGCATCCGGCGGCCTGCGGTGGCACTCGGAGCGCCTTCTGGCAGCCTTCGGCGGCCTTCGGCGGCCTCTTGCTTCGGGCCTGGAGCCGGGGGCTGAGGTGGCCCAGCACTGGGCAGTCAACCACACGTGAGAGTGACTCTTGGCCGGAGTGACCTTCTGGTGCGGGCCCACTGGGGTGCCCCGACCGCCGAGCGCGATGCGGTAGCAGCGTCTTGCGCGCCTGCGCTGCGGCCCCCCAGAAGCCGCGCACCAAAGGTCACTGTTGCCGAGGGTCACTCTTGCGTGTAGCCGATGGTCCCAGCCAGCAGAAATGGGGGCGAGAGCGAGGGCCCCCCTCGTCGCCCCAGCGGGACGAGGCGCGGACGACTCGTCCGTTTCGACCCCAGGGAGGGGTCCAGGGATTGATTTTGAGCGGATTTGCGTTCGTCCCCCTCAGCTTGACAGCCCAGACATGATCGCGTTGTTCAAAAATCAAAACGGGAGGTGTTCGGCCAATTTCGGCCCCGGGGGGCCCTCGCTGGGCCTCGGGACCGTCAAAAACGAATCAGGATGAAAAGCTGGTCCCGGGGAAAGGGTCGGGACTTCCAGGGACCCCGCACTGAAAAAAAACCAGGACGGCGCGTGTTTGGGAGGCTTTCTCGGGGCACGTCCAGCGCAGACCCACGGCCGCTGCCGACTTCCGGCCGCCCGGCCCGTGGCACGAAGGGCGTCGTCTTCGTCGCCGTCGTCTTCGTCGCCGTGGCCGCCGCCGCCGTCGTCCTCGTGGTCGTTTTGCACCTCCCCCGGCGTGGGGCGCGCCCGGGCCAGCGGCGATTGCGTTAGAGATGTATGTGTTGTTTTCCTAGGCCCCCCACTTCGCACCGTGGCCCTGTCGGATCTCAAGATGCCTCCGTCCCAGCCCGCCCGCTCGCCCCACGCTCCGGGGGGCGGTTCCAGGGCCCAGCGAGGGCCCTCGGAGGCTGAAGGCGGCCAGGCAAGATCTGCCGTGATTTCGCACGACGCGAGGAGGTCTCGGATCTGAAGACGAGAATCGACCCCCAGGCCCATCCTGGGGCACGTTCTGACTAGCATACAGTGGGGGCGCGTGCCAAGAAACCAGTTGGATTTTGCCAGGGTGCCCTGGGTTTCTTGGATTTTGATGGGCTCCCAATCAGATCTTGACGATTTTCGATCGACACATGTGGGTTTTCACTGAACAAATCGCGTAATTCAGGGTTGGGTTTCTTGCGGAGGTTTCTTGTGGCCGAGCCCCCACTGTAATCCAGCCGTGGTGAAGATAGGCCTCCCAACATCCAGCAGCGCCCAGAGCCCAAACCTCGATCCTCGAGGTTCGGAGTTCGAACCTTGATCAGTCCACCGGCGTCTCGGCCGCGGCGGTCCGGTTCCGCAGGCCTACGGCTCCGACGAGGAGGCCGCGGGCTTCCGCTGGGCGGGCCGCCTGCAGTTGACCGCATGGGCGCTGGCGTCGGCGCCGAGGCACCCCGTGATGTTGCGGGCAGTGGAGGACCTGTTCTGCCAGATTCAGTCTCCCCCTCGTGCTTGTCCTCCTCCTCCTCCTCCACCTGCTCCTTCTTCTCCTCCCTTCTCTGCTCCTCCTCCTGCTCCTTCTCCCTTCCCTCATCCCCCTCCGCCTCCTTCTCCTCCTGCTCCTCCTGCTCCTCCTCGTCCTCCTGCTCCTCCTTCTCTTCCTCCTCCTCCTCCGCCTCCTCCTCGTCCTCCTCCTCCTCCTCCTCATCATCATCATCATCATCCTCATCCTCCTCCTCCTCCTCCCCTCCTCCTCCTCCTCCTCCTCCTCCCTCCTCCTCCTCCTCCTCCTCCTCCTCCTCCTCCTCCTCCTCCTCCTCCTCCTCCTCCTCCTCCTCCTCCTCCTCCTCCTCCTACGCACCCCCCCCGTCAGGAGTACCTGCGCCTCCACCGCGGCGCGACTGGGGCGTGGAGCACAGAGCACCCCTCTCAGCGCAGCGGGAACCCGCCCGCAGATCCGCTGCCACGACGACGTCGTCATCGTCGTCGTCGCCTTCGCTTCAGAAGTTTCGGCATCGTTTCTGGAGGCTCTCGCGCCGCGGCCCGACGCAGCTAGAAAAACTGGCCAGGATGGACCCCAGGACGGGTCTTTGGCCAGGACACAACAATGACGACGACGACGACGACGACGACGACGATGACGATGTGGGTTGCGGCGGTTGCGACGGCGGCGGCGACTGCGATTGCGGCCTGTGCGACGGCGACGGCTGCGACGGCGAGGACGAGGGCGAGGATTTATGACGAGCAGATGGAGGAGAAGGGCTTGGGAGGAGAAGGAGGAGGAGGAGGAGGAGGAGGAGGAGGAGGAGTAGGGAGGGAGGAAGGGACGAGGAGGGAGGAGGGAGGAGTGAGGAGAACGAGGAGGGAGAAGGAGGAGGAAAAGGAGGAGGAGGAGGAGAAGAAGAAGAAGGGGCGTTGGAGGAGGAGGAGGAGGAAGAGGAGGGAGAGGGCAGGCTTCCATGGTTCCATGGGGTCAGAATGTTGGAGAGCTCCAGGGAGAGGAGGGGAAGGAGTCCTCCTCCTCATCCTCGTCATCAGCATCAGTTACGATCCTGAGTGTTGCATCCACCCAGACTGTCATCGGCGTCAACCGCGGGGGCGCGAAAGGTGATCTTACTTCGCGGCCCTGGCCGGAGAGCTGCTCTGATCCCGGGGTTGGGACCGGGAAGGCAGCGCGAAGGGCGACGTCGGTCGGCTTGAGCTTCCGAAGGTCTCCAGAGGTCCCCACGGGCCCCCAGATGTTCCTGGAGGCCTCCGGAGACAAAACCAAACAAAGCACAGAGATTGGATCCTCGATCTTCGACCCAGTCTTCCGACGTCGCGACTTGCTCAAGAATCGCAGCCCCCTTCTCCTGCATCGCGCAGAAGGCAAGAAAGGCCCGTGAGCGCCACAGAGGAGCACGCGGCTGACGGCACTCGGGCTCAGTATCCCTCCTGTGCCCAAGCTTCGGGGCGTCCTGACAACAAGAGAGAAACAGGATAGACGGTAGACGAGCGAGGATCAAGAATCTGGACGTTGTCGGGCTTCGTTGGGCCTCCTGCGGCACCATTGTCGCCGCTCCGAAATTCTGGCCAGAACGCCCCCAGGACAGGTTAGGAGGCCGATGCTTGACCCCCACGGCCTACTTCGACCTCCAGGCGTCGTCAACAGACACACACGCTGTTTTTCTGTGTTCGGTTTCGGCCTCCAGGTACCGTTTTCAACCCGTGGCGGGAAGCCAGCCCCAGGAGAGGGTCGAGAGCCCTGGGGGCCAACATCTCGGCAAGACCACGACATCGGAGGTCTGGGAGCAAGCGCGCACGGCCATCCTCGGCACGCGCGGGCGGCTCGCGTGCGCGAATCGCACGCCCCCGCACAATGTCACTGCTGGTGCCTCCTCCTCCTCCTCCTCCTCCTTCCTCCTCCTCCTCTTTCTCCTCCTCCTCCTCCTCCTCCTCCTCCTCCTCCTCCTCCTCATCATCATCATCATCATCATCATCATCATCATCATCATCATCCCACCTCCTCCTCTTCCTCCTCCTCCTCCTCCTCCTCCTCCTCCTCCTCCTCCTCCTCCTCCTCCTCCTCCTCTCGTGCGTCGAGCCCCCCTCGTCTCGCACGCTCCTCCTCGGCTCCTGCCGCACCAGGCGGAGATAACACTGGCCAAGCACCAGTGGCCAAGCCTTGGCGGGGGGGACCCTTGCCTGGTATCGCCATAAGACTCAGGGATGAGCTTGTCCGATTCGGGTATCTGGTGTTGTGTCGGGGCCTTCCTGGCCGTCGGTGTTTCCGCAGGAGACATGGACTGCATCTGCACGGTAGCCCAAGGGTGTGGTGCCGAATACGGGTTGTTGGGTATCCGATTCTGCATTTTGACCTTGCCAGTGGCCTGTCCCTGCGAAACTGCCGCTGTCCAGCCTCACATCGGAGGTCCCCACTTTCCAGGGGTGTTGAGGTCGTTTGAGCGAAGGACGGAACCGCACTGTCTGTTCGGCCGTCAGAGCGCCCGAGATGGCCCGAGATGCTTTCAATATCGCTCCAAAGCGGCCCAGACGGGCTTCAAGAAGGCCCCCTGAAGGACCCAACAGCGGCTCTGGACGGCCCATGAAGACCCTTGAGACGCCCCCTGGGTGCCCCTTCCGGAGCCCAAGAGGGGCCCCCAGGCTGCCCAAGACAGCACCAAGACGGGAACATACCCACGGAACCCCAAAGGCGGCACAAAAACGGCCCCAAAGACCCCAAGACGGTCCCTTAAGCACGCGTCCAGAATGCTCCAGGGCGGGGCCCGAAGACGACTGGAGGTGGCCAGGAAGCTTTGCAAATGTTTTCCCGAGAAGCCAGAGTCGCCCAATTTGACTGAGTGGCGCGCATGGCGTGCGTGGCGTGTGCGTGTAGTGCGTTTGCAGCCTCCAGCCCAGGTTCACACTGTGTGGCACCAGCAGCGAGAATTCTGATGTGGTGTGAACTTGAGCCTATTGTTTTGCATCCTGAGCGCGATCGACACCCTATGTATCCCCTTGCTCTGAAATTTGCATATCCCTTGCAGTTGGGAGCTCTGGCCCTGTCCCGTTTGGCCCCACTCGCGTGGGCATTCACGCGGGCACTGTCATTGTCACTGTCGCCCTCCCTCCCCACCCACGATCACGCAAATTCGCTGTCAGAGGTTTACCGCTTATCTGTCGGCGGCACATTGCCGTTTCCAGCTCCATTTGTCTCCCAGACCCCCTTCGTTCTCTTCCGATCCTTCCAGCCAGTCAAGCCGTTTTGGCTCTAGCCAATTTGTCCCCCAGCTTTGCTGCCGCGCGCCACGGCTTCCCCCCCACGCACCAGATTGCACGCCATTATTCACGCATGTCCGGCCATCGCCTCGCAGCCCTCCTGCCTATGGAAATGCGGGCGCATGCCTCGCCCGCTCGCCGCCGCTGTTTTCCCCCCAAGAATTTGCACCTTTCCCGAGGAACACGTCGATCGCAGATCGTCCACGCTGGCTGCCAGAGCTGAGGTTTCCGTTTCCTGCCAACCACCATTGCAATCCCACCCTTGCGCGCGCCATGGCTGGTCGCGCGCGGAGGGTTGCCGACCGCGGCCGAGCGGATCGGGGACCGCCTCAGCAGAGGCGCCAGGACGAGGACGACTTCGAGCAGCTCGACGACGAGGACTACGACGCGGCGTCCCAGCCCAGGGCCGCTGAGAGAGACGGCGGCGGCATTCGCGACAACCCCCCGATTCCGATCTTCGCCGGGTCAGGCTGGGGGGATTCTCGCGAGGCGCGTCGAGGCGGCTTGGAAGGTGACGATTTCGCTGAATCCAGAGCGCTTGGGGCCAGCGCTTCACGCGAGGCTGCAGGGCGGATCTACAGGGCCTTGAGTTCCTCGTGGACCACCTCAAGGACCGCTTCGAAGAGCAGGAGATCCCACGACGAGGCGACAGGATGCACGAGTTACAGCGGGGGCGGCCGTTAAGGAATGTGCCCATGGGGGCTTCACTGGAGGGCTCGTCATCTGATGAGGGCGGCGGGGATATCCATGGCCAATACACGATTGGAGTTCCACCGGCTTCCAGACTCTGGCCCCCTCATCCCTTCCTCATCCAAAGCCCTCACCGCATTCGCCCTGCCCGCGGGGCGGATGCAGGATCAGATGCGCACATTCAGGAGAGTTCAGCACTCTCGCGTGCCGACCAGTCACATTCGCTGCGACGCCGTCCGCGGTCGCGCTCGGATGGTCTCTCGTGGATAAGCTGAGGCCGCCGAGCGATCGTCGGGCCATGGCATTGGCCAGTGCCAACGACGACTACGACATCAAGGCCCTGTCCGCGAGGGCCGAGGAAAATTGCCCCAGCGCGTCCGAGCTCGACATGTCAGGCCGCAGCAGGCCAGACCCCCCGCTCAGGAACAAGCCCAACAGCTCGTGCGCCCCCAGACATGACCAGCACCAGACCATGCACGCCGAGCCGGAGGAGTCGCAGGACCCCGGACGAGCACCAGGCGGTGGAGTCGTTCCTAGCGAACGGTGGACACCCCACCGACGTCCCAGGCCTGGGCGCCTTCGACGAGCTGCTGGACGATGACAACCGCTGCGAGTGCGAGGACGACCAGGAGGACGCCACGGCGGCCCCGGCGAAGCGCGCGCGGCGGGCTTCACGGAAAGCAGAAACAGATCCCGCAACATGACAAGATTCGCAGTCGGCTCGCGAGCGCAAAGATCAAGGTAAAAGATTTCAAGCGCCAGCCGGGCTACCCTCCTGCCCCAGAGCCGCGCGTAGTTCAACGGGATCCGAAGCGACAGGAGGAGGTCGACGAGTTGAAAAGACGTCGGTTTGCATGGCCGGCGACCAGCGAGGGCGCCGGCAGGGGCAGTCTCGGACGAGACGGCGCCAGCAATGCGTCTCATCACCACGAGCTCAACCGTCTCATCATCGAGCTCATCACCACGAGGTGCCAGGCTGGGCCTAGGACAGGAGCCAGAAGCTCACGGCGCATTGAAACGAGCAGCAGCACGAGGCAGCAACAGCACGAAGCCCGGGACAAGCAGCGACATCCTGACAGAGCGGACCCCGAACAAGACCTAGCTGTTCCAAACGGAGCTCGAGTCGACCAGAATCCAATTCAAGGGAATCACAATGGAGGTCGAGACGGTAAACATGCTGTTCTGGTGCATCGAAACGAAGCTCGAGCCGTTCAGGACACAGTTCAAGCCGTCAAGCCAGTCGGTTTGGGGGTCGAGCGAAGCAGGACAGACATCCAAACAACGAAAAGAAACAAGAGAACTGTCAAACCTTTTCTCCGGCCTTCGCAGCTACTGGCTCTATCAAGGCCATCGGGCCAGTTTCGATTTCGCGATCAGAAGCAGTCGAGCCTCCGACGGCCCATGCCAGCCCAGATAGGCACCATCCAGACGCGGCCAAATCCGCGTCGGGCACGGCGGCGCTTCGCCCAGGTCGCGATGAACGCGGCGCGGGCCTTCATGACCCCCGCGCGATGTGAAACGGTGAGCTGTGGGTACCAGAAGTGCACCATCTCGAGGATGACCCGCGTGCTCGCGCGCCACCGAGGCGGCGGGGGATCGCCCAGATGGCGACGGCGGAGCTGCGCGAGGAGCAGAGGACCATCGGAGTGGACACCGCGGGCAACGAGACGCGCATGGCCCCGCGGGAGAGCTTGCGAGCCGCACGCCCGGCCGAGGAGACCAAGCACCGGAGGGGTTCAGCACGGGCGGAGCTCACGTCGGGATTCAGCAAGCTCCGAAAGCCCTCCTCGATCGTCTTCCGCCAAGCTACGGGCATCGCAACCAAGGGGTCTCGACGCCCTGACGCTCGGGGCCAGGGCGCGGGGCCAGGCCGAAGGGCCGCTGCCGCCAAGCGCCGCCCCCGCGGAGTCTTTGCTAAATTCGGATTCGGAGTCGGGCCCGCCGCCGATGGCGCCTCCGAGCACGCACCCCACGACATGGGCGCTTCAGGCCGAAGTGATGAAGCGGGGCCCTCCGAGCGCGCCACCCCACGTGGGCCCGGGAAGAAACGAACAACCTTCGGCCCAGACTCGAGCGATACCGACGCGGACAGCAGCTCGACAGCGAACACACTATCCGAACCCGATTGGGACCCCAACCCGGGAAAGATCGGGGAGGACAGCAAGGACGAAAAGACCGAGATCAGCGAGGTGGACTCGAGCGAGACCGACCAGGACAAGCAGTTGCTTGACTTCCTCGAACAAGGCTTCCACCTGGCCAGGCGAAGCGGCATCTGCGCTGCGGGGCCAAGAAGCGCGTGCTGAGCGGGCTTCGCGGGGCCCCCGCCTCGTGGACTATGCCAGCCACGTGCCTCGCGTCGCGGGGCGGCAAGGACGGAGCACTTGGCGAAGCTGCCCGCCGAGACTTTCGAGCGGGGGCAGACCTGGGACAACGAGGGCGGCGACGACTTCAAGAGACCGGCGGCGGCGGCGGCATCTCGCAGGAGTTGATCGGCCTCATCCAGCTGGAGAAGCCGGTTTGCGCAGCGCTGGATCCGCCCTGCGGGATCTGGAGCCACATGCCAAGCTTCGTCTTCAGGGGGGGCAAGCAGCGCCCGCGGCGGGCGCGGCCCGAGGAGCCACCGACCCTGAGGCTCGCGCAGACGATCTTCACTTCGCAGCACAAGGGTGGCCCAATGGCAGCGCTCGGGCACCCCCCCAGCAATCATGGAACAAAGGCGCGCGGAGGAAGCTCAGGCACCCCCCAGGGCGCGGTCGGGTTTCAGACGGACATGCTCGCTCGTAGCCCGAGGTGTCCTCGCCCGGGCAAAGCAGCCAAGAAGCCCTCGAAGATCCCCGCGACCCGCGCCGCCTTCGAGAAGCCTCGCGGCTTTCGGTGCACCCAGGCCAACGCGCCCGAGGAGCTGAAGGGCATGCCGAAGGGATTTCCTGCGCGGTTTAGACCGACGCACTCACCTGCCGCATCGTCGACGCATGCCAAGCGGTGTTCCAGAGCCACAAGGCCACGGCGTCGGACATCGACGACGACGAACGACGACGACGAGGCGCCAGAGGAGGAGTTCATGGGAGTCCGCGCCATCAGGATCGGGGAGAAGGCTGGCGCATTACAAGTGGATGTACGAGCTCAACCCAGGCGCCTCCCCGGGACCTCGGGCACCCATCGAAAGACGACATTGCCAGAACTTTTGGACTGAATGACGCGAACGACGTTCTTATCCAAGGTGCCAAGCTGCCAAGCACTTGCGCTGCAGCACGCGCAACCCGACGACGCCTGCGATGGACTCGCATCGGGTTCCTCGCCAGCCCCCGTTCGGCGGCTTCAACGGCGAGTTTGACGCCGGCGGCCTTTACCTGCGCAACGCGCACGGAATGATTGTTGCCCCATGTCACTTGCCAAAAGTTCAACGAAATACCGCGTCGCCCGGTACATGAAGAAGCGGAAGCCAGCCACCGTCGCTAACGTCGTCCGCGAGGCCTGGCCTGCGGGGCCGCCGAGGCCCAGGCGGCATGCTCTACGCGGACTTCCAGGAGGCCAGGGACATGAGGGGCATCCAGGTCAAGGTCGTGGCCGGGCAGTCGCAGCGGCAGAACGGCCGCACCGAGCAGCATCGCGGCTGGCTCAAGCTCATTGTCAGCCGCGTCGTCGAGCAACAGGATCAAGGGGCGCAGCGACCTGGAGGCCGCCGCCTGAGAAACTTCCCAGGCCAAGAACGGCATGCGGCGGGTCTGTAGATTTCCCCAGTCGCAGTGGCTAAACGGCTGCTCGCCTACCACGTCTGCCGACATGGTCGATCGGCCTGGGCAGATTGTAGAGCACAGCATGCATCACGTGTCCACGAAGCTCGCGAGGATGATGGATATCCGCACGGCTGTGCGGACCGCCTTCGTCGAGCCCCGAAACAGCCAGGCGCTCCGTCGAGCGATTTTGCGAATGCTGGAGGTCACCCGCGTCGACTACCAGGACGGCGACCCCGCATTCTATTGGCAGCTGCGCAAGGGGGCCCAGCTCCACGAGTGGCGAGGCCGGAGGCCCCGTGGTCGTCATCGGCCCAGCGGACCTCCGAACTTCCAGTGCCCCCGTGGCGCGAGCGGTTCAATTTGTTCACGAGCAGTTCCGACCCGCTGAGGGCGAAGAGAGCTGGTGGCCCAGCCAGGGCGACGATCTGAATATTGAGGAGCTGAACCATGGAGTGCACTCAAAGTGTGCCGTCTCGCGTTCGGCGGTTATCATATTGCCAGCGGTGTTGCCAGGATGCCAGGAAGCCAGCGTTTGACATGATCACCTTGATCTAGCCGCGGAAGTCGGCCGCCCTCGACGTCGATCCTCTCGAGGGCGAGCCCTGAACGGGGGGCGATGCGTAGATGGGTGCCCGCTGGTGGTAGGGTTCAGTTTCAGCGTGTGGGCTTGCTTGAGCACACACAAGGCAATGCGAGCGCTATTCTTTTGATGAGCCTCCTGTTGCACGGCCTTTGCCTCTCCCCTCCTGTGTCATTCCATTATCCCTCCTGTGAGCTTCGGGAGCACGCCGGCTTGTTTCCTCTGCACTTCCCATTGCCAGCGTTGCTGCCAGGACGCGCACGCCAAGCAGGCAGACTCGCAGGAACTGCGCATCGAACTAATAGCGCTATTGCCCGTGAAGCTCACTCCGAACGTACTGGTTCGCTTCTGGGATGCATGTAGTTGGCCCAACAGGGGTGGCCAGGAGACCGGTGATTGCAATTATTCGATTCGCAGCTTTTCTACAAGGTATAGCATAAGCATCGACATTCTCAGTTGTCTTCGCATTAGTACGAGTATGGGTGTGTGTGTGTATATGCTTGTGACGATCCACATTACATGTCAGCATTCGTTCCTGTAGGGATATATGTAACAGTAACATGCTCAATTTTGGTATTTGCAGCGGGTTCTGGACTTCACGTGTGCATCTGTATTTATACACGCACAATCATTTCGCTGTTCAAGCGCCAGCGCCCAAGCCCCAATTCCTATCTCTAGCTCTCCCGCTCCTCGTAATCACTGTCCTCTCATTGGCGGCATTGGATCAGGATGGCGATGCTCTTGTCAGCAAGAGGGTCGCGCATCCATCCCCGAGATCTGACACCGTGGGAAAACGCAGCGTCGTGAATCGATCACGGCCAGAGTTTTCGACCCCATCTTTGTGTTGTATTTCTCGAGCCAGACCGACCCACGAGTGTCCTGGGGCTCGGGATGGCGCAGGCGCGCGCGTCGTGAGCTCCTTCAGCGCGCCTGGATCCACAGGTTCCCGTCGCAAGGCCGAGCTGGCCATAGCTCTGGGCGCTCTGGGCCGAGATCGGGACGGGTGCGCGGGCTGCCCGGCCGTCCGAGGTACGGCGCGAGCATCGCCATGGGGCCAGGGTTGCTGACCTCAGGCGCGCGCGCGCGCCCCCCGCAGCGAACCCGCGCTCGGACTCCCGCGGGTGCTCCGCGATGGTCTCAGGCAGCGGTCCGGGCAAAGGGCGCGGCCCACCGAGGTCAAGCGCCAGGGCCGAGTCTGGGCGCCACGAGCCCGCGCGAGCGGGCAGATGTAGCTCGCGCCAGGGCGACCCAGAGCGCTCCAGAACGGCCACGGCCCCGACACACCCTCTGGACCCGCTTGCTCTCAGAGAGCCGGGGGCAACCAAAGATGGTAAACTTGCGCGAGGTGTTGAATGGCCCTGCTTGTGGGCTTGCTACTCATGTTGCTGATTGGCTTCCGCTGGAGCCTGTGCCACGTCAGGCTCAGGGGGAGGACCATTTTAAAGTTGACAAGCCAGGAGAGAGGAGGAGGAGGAGGAGGAGGAGGAGGAGGAGGAGGAGCACGAGGAAGAGGAAGAGGAGGAGGAGGAGGAGGAGGAGGAACTAACGCCACAAGCCTACTTACGCGTCAGGTCCGATCAACGTCAAAAAAGGAGGAAGAGAAGGAGGAGGAGGAGGAGGAGGAGGAGGAGAAGGATGAGGAGGAGGAGGACCAGAGCAAACCCAAGATGCACCAACTATGCGGCACAACACCCTCCCATCCCAAGTCCCCTCCTCATAGGACATTTTTTTTGACATTCGCTTCGGGGCTGAACTAAAGCTCAAGCACGTTCCGCGGACAGCAACTGACCCCCAGTCCAAGCCTGGGGCGTTGCCAGTTCCGAGTCGGCGCCAAGAACCCTACCCCAGGAAAAGGAGGGGAGGAGAAGGACATGCATGAAACACAACTCGCCCGGGTTAAACGCTGCCCACCTTCTAATGGGCCGTTCCCAGGCCAGAACTGAAACAATGCAGAACTTCCCCAGAACGGGGCAGAGAATCCCATCCCACCCACCAGTGACCACCTCCCCAGACAAGAGCAATCCCTGAACGCCAACTTGCAGGTTCGGACTTTCGAGCATGGTGAGACCATGGCAAGACCCGCCAGGGAAGGCCACTTGCTTTCGCCTGTGACCTGGCTGCCAATTCCTTGAACTGTCTGGAGGGAGGAAGGAGGGAGGGGGGAAAAGAAGGACAAGGGAAGGGGAAGGAGATCAAGACTGCAAAGCACTGGGGTAAACTTTCTTCCCACATACTAGTGGGAGCCCCTAGCAGAGCGAAACCACCGTTCCCCAAGGGAAGAGAGAATACTAGGGGATTACTTCGCCAGAACTTCCTGGACCCCTGCAAGTAAAATAAACTGGGCTGAATACAGCTGCCCAACTAGCGCATGAAGAGGAAACTGCAGGTAAGCTACCTGCTTCACAGTTCTGCCGATCTGGCCAAGGAAACAAGACGTGAAGGTAAAAGAAACGCCGGGTAGCTGACAACTGTCCTACCCAAACGAAAGGACCAACACAAAAGGATTCTACCAAAACTGTAGCCAAGGAATGCTGCTCACTAAGCCAATACTCAAGTTGCCATTTAGCCCAAGATGCAATAAACAATCTGCCGCTAAAAGAAGGTTGGATACTACCAACATATTTGCTCCAATTACTTTGAAGAAGTGGAGTCTGAGCTGGATTTGCTCCTCCTAGGAACCGGCGCACTGCCTGAAGCTGCGTTTTGATTCTTAACACGATTTAGCTCCTCCTGGAGAGACTCTAGCTTCTGCTGGAGGTGCTTGATCTTGATATCCTGGAGACCACACTTTAACTCCAACAGTCTTGAACTGGACGGGGCAGAACCACTGGAAGGGGCGGCATCGCTGTGCCCAACCTTTGCACGCTTACTAGCGTGCTCTGGAGAAGTCGAACGAGGACTGTCGACATGTTTACTGGCTGAGGGTGAGTCGGACACGCTGTCGCTGTCCAAAACTGGAAGCTTTTCTTCCTTCTTGGTGATCTGAACCTTTACCCTAGGCTCCACATTGAATTTCTCGCATACTGCCAAATAAAGAAACTGTTCTTGCCCTTTGTACTTGTCCAAGAAATGGTCCAACTTATCCAGCATCTGCGGTTCGTACTGCTGGAAGACATCCGAGATCAGGAGCTTGAACTGATGCCTGACTTTGAACTCCTGGCCCTGCTCTCTGTCGGCTTCTACCTGACGAGCGGCCTTGTCTTTGGGATTGGCCTTTACTGCCACAAAAGGAGGCGGTGGCTGCGTCATCTCACTGTCGGCTTCTACCTGAACAGTGGGCTTGTGTTTGGACTGAGACTTCTCCCTGCCAACTACTACCTCAGCACTGATCCTTTCTGTGCGACCAGACTTCGCTGCTGACGGTGGTGGCGGAGGTGGGGGAAGTGGCTGGGAACTCTTCCCATGCCACGGAAGGCCGCACTTACATAACGGCTGAGAAGCAATTCTATTAGGCCAGATCCAACAGTCTGGTCTGCCACGCGGGCAAAGTAACTTTGAATGCGAAACAACAGGAGCTCCTACTCCTTCTTTGCGAACCCAAGGCGTCCTGGAAGACATGGCGGAAACTGCGGCGCGTGGGTGAAGGAGAAAAGGGGGCAGGCTGCTCCTGCCCAGCTGGCTTGAGCGGTGGCAACTTGAGCCAAAATGGCTTGAGCCAGAGGAGGAGGAGGAGGAGGAGGAGGAGCAGGAGCAGGAGCAGGAGCAGGAGGAGCAGGAGGACGAGGAGTACCAGAACAAATCCAAGATGCACCAACGATGCGGCAACATACCCTCCCATCCCAAGTCCCCTCCTCATAGGAGGAGGAGGCGAAAGAGGAGTACAAGAGCAAACCAAAGATGCACCAACGATGCGGCAATGCACCCTCCCATCCCAAGCCCCCTTCTCATGGGAGAAGGATGAGGAGAAGGAGGAGGAGGAGGAGGAGAAGGAGGAGGAGGAGTACCAGAGCAAACCCAGGATGCACCAACGACGCGGCAATGCACCCTCCCATCCCAAGCCCCCTCCTCATGGGAGGAGGAGGAGGAGGAGGAGGAGGAGGAGGAGGAGGAGGACCAGAGCAAACCCAAGATGCACCAACGACGCGGCAACGCACCCTCCCATCCCAAGTCCCCTCCTCATAGGAGGAGGAGGAGGAGGAGGAGGAGGAGAAGGAGGAGGTGGAGGAGGAGGAGGAGGAGGAGGAGGAGTACCAGAGCAAACCCAAGATGCGCCAACGAAGCGGCAACGCACCCTCCCATCCCAAGGTCTCTCCCCATAGGCATCTACAGACAAGCAGTCGGGCCCACTGCGGGCAGCGCCCACCCTATATGACGAGTGTCGGCTGGGCGTGACGCTCCGCTGAGGCCCCGTCTTGTAAAGGATCCACGGTCCGCAAAGTCCCAGACCCCCTCGCGCTGACCCCCCCCCAACAAAAGAAACAAAAAAAAAAAACGCCGGGCGGTGTTTCGCCATGTTGGGCCCCTCGGGGCCTTCCCTGGGGCTCGGGGGTCAAGAACAATTCGGGAAGAAATGCCGGTCCTGGATTGGGATTAATGTTTTTTGCTGTTTTCCATTACTATTTTATCTATCAAAATCTATATATGAAGGCAGAAGAAGAAGAAAAAACAAACAAAAACGAAAAAAAAAAAAAAAAAAAAAAAAAAAAAAAAAAAAAAAAAAAAAAAAAAAAAACAAAAAAAAAAAAAACGTCGGGAGTCTGGGGGCGTAGGAGGAGAAAGTTCCAGGCAGCGTCCAGCGATGGCCCCGTCATGGAAAGGATCTGGCCCCCACGATCACGCGCACGCTCTGCACAACTTCGGAGCTCTAGCCGAACACACCGCAGAAGTATCCGGGAGCACCATGTTGCAAAGGACATGCAGGAGGGAAAAAAACACACAGACACAATTAATCGTCGATTCCCCCGAAAATATGGGAAAATATGGGAAGTGGTGGGGAAGACAAAAACCCAGAAAATATGTGAAATTATGGGGAATAGTTTTATTTGTGTGTATTGATTTGTGTGTCCCAGGGCCCCTTCAGACATGCCCGTCACCCGTGCAATTGTTGGACCACTTCGAAGTTGCGGCAATAAAAATTGCATAAGTATCCGAGGGCCCCCGTTGACAAAGAGCTGCCCTCGCGATCCGCGTGACCGTTGCAGCAAGTTGGAAGCTCTGGAAGTCTCAAACGAGAGCCGCATTTTGAAAACGAGCCAGCCTCCATCTCTGCAGCTGCTGGAAGCTTGTAAAACGAGCGTGCGCGGCGCCGAAAGGGAGACCCGCATGTTCAAAACCGATGGCCCTCCGTCCGCGAAATCGATGGAAACGTTACAGCCAGTGCGCTGGGCGCCCAGACAAGAGCCGCATTTCCGGCGTTTTTTGGGGAGCCGTTGGGTGCTTGTTGAGGCAATGTCCGACCGTCTTGGCAGTCTTGGAGTGCCTTGGGAAACCCCGAGGAGGAGGAGGAGGAGGAGCGCCAAAAGGCGCCCAGAAGGAGCTGCGGGAGGCAGATGGCGCACGCAGCCCAGGTGCTGGAAGAGGGGGGGTCCTCCTCCTCCTTCTCCTCCTCCTCCTCCTCCTCCTCCTCCTCCTCCTCCTCCTCCTCCCCTCCCCCTCCTCCTCCTCCTCTCCTCCTCCTCCTCCTCCTCCTCCTCCTCCTCCTCCTCCTCCCTCCTTCTCCTTCTCCTCCTCCTCTCTTCCTCCCTCCCTCCCTTCCCTCCTCCCTCCCTCCCTCCTCCTCCTCCTCTCTCCTCCTCCTCACTCCTCACTCCTCCCTCTTCTTCTCCTCCCTCCTGATCCCTCCTCCCTCCTCTCTCCTCCCTCCTCCTCGCCTCCTCTCCTCCTCTCCTCCTCCTCCTCCCTCCTCCTCCCCTCCTCCCTCCTCCTTTCCTCCCTCCTCCCTCCTCCCTCCTCCCTCATCCCTCATCCCTCATCCCTCCCCCCTCCTCCCTCCCCCCTCCTCCCTCCCTCCTCCCTCATCCCTCCTCCCTCCTCCTTCCTCCTCCTCCGTAGCTATTTTGGCTCAAGGCCCGAGCCGTCGGAGACATTTCCTGGCGGCGCGTTTGGATTGTGGCAACGCTGTTGCTCTCCAGCCAGGTCCTCACTCCATCACGGCGCGGGCCCATGCGCACCACGTCAAGCTCTTGCGCCGCTCGTCGTGACCGCGACCGAGACCCTTCCGCCCGACATGATCCTTGCCAGGAGAAGCCGAGTGTCCGTGCCGCTGTACGGAGGCTCGGCTACGCGGCCGAGTCGGACGCGTGCCACGCGTGGCCGACGTCCGCGACTTGGCGCAAGCCTGCGGCCATGGCCGCTCCGGTCCAGCTCAGCTAACTGACGTCGTTCACAACCATGCTCCCGACCGCCCTCACCCTTTGGGTGGGGATCAGCCGGGCTACGTTGGTCGACTTGCTGTTTTGCCACCGAAGCCGCCGCCAGCTTTTTCCCCTCGGCTGCCCGCCATCTCGCAAAAGGTTGCCCGGCCCGTCAGCAAGCCAGAGCCGCTGTGCACGCTTTCGCTGCTGAACCCCGAGGATCCTTCTTTCCAGATGCCGGAGGCTTCGCCTGGGCCGGTCTTCGTGGAGATCGAGGTGCAGAAGCGCACCGTTTTCTTAGACGTGCCTTCTTCGCCGCGACCACCGCCCCGCCAGGTAGAGAAGCGCACTGCAGCGCCGATCGACAGCAGTGCCAGCCGAGATATCGCCGCCGAGCTCAAGCAGAGGATCTCCGATCTTGCGCAGCAGCAGTGCCCTGCAATGCTGGGGTAGCTGGACATTCTGTTTGGCAAATACACGGGCCATCTATTTCAAGGTTTACAAGAAGTTCGGTGCTCACCCGACGCCGACCCTCTGAGGAGTGAACCGTCCTCCAGATGAGCTTGAGATTCCAGACCGGTGTGTCTCTGCTTGTGTGTAGCATCCGTATGTCAGCCCATGCGCGCGCACGTCCTCATGTTTATGTACACTCATATCTTCTGTTAAGAAACTCCCTCCCGCCAAGCTGGGTCTCAAAATTTCTTAAAATTCGATGACGAATTCCCAAAAGCTGGCTCAGTTTCTTAACGCCGGCATCTTCTTACTGATCTTCCTCCAGATTTTCGGGATCTTCTTCCAGATCTTCGTCGAGATCTTCCTCTGGATCTTCCCTCAGATATTCTTCCCGATCTTCTTCTGTATTCTCTCCGAGAGTTTCCCCCAGATCTTCGCCCAAATCCTCTCCGAGATCTCCGCCCAGATCTTCCTTCAGATCCTCGCCCAGATCAATCCCTCCTTAGATCTCCCCCCAGATCTTCATAGAGGTTGTCGCTTTATGTTGTCGCTCTGTTGTCGCTCGCTGTTCTATGTTGTCGCTCTGTGTCCAGGTCTCTTTCTCTAGTTGAGCAGGGTTTTCCTCAATAAGAGTTCCAGCAGTCAGAGAACCGTCGGAGCACGCTTCTGCCGGGACCCTCGTCGCACATACACATACACACACACACACACACACACACCTCATCCTCCACCTCATCCTCCGCGCCCGCCTCCTCCTCCTCCTCCTCCTCATCCTCCTCCTCCTCCTCCTCCTCTTCTTCCTCCCCCTCCTCCTCTTTCTCGAGCACGAGATCGGGCTTCCAGTCATGCCGCCGCGCGTGCCGCCAGCGCCACACGATGCCGACGTCAGGCCGCGGGGCGACTGGCAAGGGCGAGCGGCGGAGCGGCGCGGGACCATCGCGTTCACAGACGGCTCTGGGTTTGCCAGCAGCATGCCCGAGCTGAGGCGCTGCGGTTGGTCGCTGGTGCAGTTGGGGGCAAATGGGGCCCCAGTACGCGCGGCCTTCGGCGCGCTGCCTGGCCCGCTCCAGACCGCGGGGCGCGCCGCGCAGCATGCGCTCCTGGAGGCAGCGCAGCTCCTTGGGTCGCAGGTGGAGTTCGTCGCCACGGACCTGCTGGCGCTGGCGCGAGAGGCGGGCTCTTCGGGCGAGGAGCTCGAGCAGGCGGGCGCCGCGCACGCCACGGCGTGGAGGCGCCTGCGCCGCCAGCCAATTCGCCCCGACGCGTTCTGGATCCCAGCCCAGAAGGGCGCCCAGAGTTACTTGGAGTTGGGCCTCCACCCGATACCCAACGCGGGTAACATGTGGGCGGGCTGGTTCGCCGAGCAAGGGGCGATGCAGCATTGTGGTCCAGGTTTACGTGGACGTCTACGGGATCGAGGTGCAGCACCACAAGAAGGTTGCGGCCTACATCGGGTGGGCCATGCAGCGTTGCCTCCAGCTCGGCGAGCGGCAGCAGCCTGCGAAGGCGGCGCCGCCGCCACCTGCAGGACCAGCGCCACGCGTGGCGGTGGTGGAGCACGCGTTGGTCGACGTGGGTGGCCGTCGTGGGCTGCTCTGCAGGGAGTGCGGCAGGCGCTCACGGGCGCGGCATGGCGCGGCGCTGCAGCAGTTCTTCAGGGCGGCATGCGAGCCGTCGAGGCTGGCGCGCATCAAGGCAGGAGCCGAGGCCCTCCACTTCGGGGCCCAGGCGCGCGTGGTCTCGGAGGCGGGGGCGCGGGCGGTCGCGGCGCCGCGGGAGGCCGAGGGCGACGAGGGCGACCCGCCGCTGGTGAGCGGCAACCCGTGGCACGACGCCGGGGAGGCACGTTGCTCACGAGGGCCATCGGCTGCGGCGCGCTGGGCCCACAGTCTTCTACGAGGTGCGCGTGGCATGGACGCAGACGCGCGCTGCTCGCGGGCTGCAGAGACCGCGCCAGGGCCCACCGCGGAGTAGGGACCACCACGCCCGCACCTACGTCTCCAACCTGGACGCCAGGAGGGACAAGCTGCTGAAGTCGCTGGATCCCAAGACTGGCAGGCCGTTCGCTGGCGCGGGCGGCCTTGCGGCGGAGTCCGAGGACGGGTCGACTGACGGCGAGTCCGGCGGCAGCGGCAGCGCGGTCGGCGGGCCACAGGACCTGGACGGCATCGTGGGGGCTGAGGTCGCTGCTGAGCGGCGAGGGGGCCCAGCGCTGGGCACCCGCCGCCACAGACGTCGCCTCGGCCGTCGGCCTCGGCGCACGCGTGCGAGGCCAGCAGGTAGCTGGCGGCGGCAGCCGCGCGCGCGGCAGCGGAGCGGCCTCGCGGCCAATCTCGGCAGGCGCGCCTCGAGCAGCTACGGCAACACATCAAAAAACGCGAACCCAACCGCAACGCGCCCGTCCAGGCCGCGCGTTGCGAGGAGCTCCAGTTGCAGGGTAGGCCGAGGCCTTGGCTTGCGGCGCGCATCGCCATCTGAAGGCGCAGGCCCGCCGTGGCGGTGCCCAAGAGGCAGCCCAGGGAGCCGCTGCCGCGGTGCCCCCCCACGCCCACTGCCACGACGCGGCGGCTCGCGAGGCAGGCGCGCCGGTGGATCGAGGCCACCCTCACGGACCAGCTGGCGGACGACTGGAGGCAGCGCTGCGCGCCGAACGTCGGGGCCGTCCTGGGCCAGCCGAGGCGGCATGCGTTCGCGCGCGCCACGGGTCGCACGGCGGGGCAGCTGGCCCGCGAGATGTGCGAGCCCCTCGCCCCCGCTCTACGGCGAGGAGGGCTAGGCGGCGGCTCCCACAGCTGCGGCGCGGCCCGCCCCGCCTTGAAGGGCGGGCTGCGCCGCGGCGCAGGCGGCGGAACGGCGCGGCGTCGTCTGGCCTCAACCTCGGCGCGGATGCTCGTCGCCGGGGTTGGTTTTCGCAGGGCTTCGTTTCGCCGGGCTTCGTTGCGCTGGGCTTGCTTTCGCTGGGGTTGACTTTCGCCGGGGTTGGATTTCGGGTCGGGTCGCGTCGGGCGGACCCTAACGGGCGGGTCGGGTCGGGCGGGCGGGACGCTAAACTGCGGGGCGCGCCAGAGCGAGCACGCGCGAACTGTAACGGGCGGGTCGGGTCGGGCAGGCGGACCCTGACGGGCGGGGCGGGTCGGGTCGGGTCGGGCGGACCCTAACGGGCGGGTCGGGTCTGGCAGGCGAGACACTAAAGTGCGGGGTGCGCCGGAGCGAGCACGCGCAAACCCTGGCCGGCGAGTCGGGCGGGCGGACCCTAACGGGCGGATCGGATCGGGCGGGCAGGGCACGAAAGTGCGGTGCGCGCCGGAGCGAGCACGCGCGAACTGTAACGGGCGGGTCGGGTCGGGCGGGCGGACCCTAATAGGCGGGACGGGTCGGGTCGGGTCGGGCGGACCCTAACGGGCGGGTTGGGTCGGGCAGGCGGGACAGCGAAGCATGGGGCGCCCCGGAGCGAGCACGCGGGAACCTTAACTGGCGGGTCGGGTCGGGTGGGCGGACCTTAACAGGCGGGACGGGTCGGGTCGCGTCGGGCGGACCCTAACGGGCGGGGCGGGGCGGGCGGGCAGGACACTAAAGTGTGGGGTGCGCCGGAGTGAGCACGTGCGAACCCTAACGGGTTGGTCGGGTCGGGCGGGCGAACCCTAACGGGCGGGACTGGTCGGGTCGGGTCGGGCGGGCCCTAACAGGCGGGTCGGGTCAGACGGTCGGGACACTAAAATGTGAGGCACGCCGGAGCGAGCACGCGTGAAACCTAACTGGCGGGTCGGGTCGGGTCGGGCGGACCCTGACGAGCGAGACGGGTCGGGTCGCGTCGGGCGGACCCTAACGGGCGAGTCGGATCGGGCGGGCGGGACACTAAATTGCGGGGCGCGCCAGAGCGAGCACGCGCGAAACCTAACGGGCGGGTCGGGTCCGGTCGGGCGGACCCTAATGGGCGGGACGGGTCGGGTCGCGTCGGGCGGACCCTGACGGGCGGGTCGGGTCGGGCGGGCGGGACAGTAAAGTGTGGTGCGCGCCGGAGCGAGCACACGTGAACCCTGACAGGCGGGTCCAGTCGGGCGGGCGGACCCTACAGGCAGGACGGGTCGGGTCGGGTGGACCCTAACAGGCGGGTCGGGTCGGGCGGGCAGGGCACTAAAGTGCGGAGCGCGCTCGAGTGAGCACGCATGAGCCCTAATTGGCGGGTCGGGTCGGGCGGGCGGACCCTAATGGGCGGGGCGGGTCGGGCCGAGTCGGGCAGATCCTGACGGGCGGGTTGGGTCGGGCGGGTGGGACATTGAAGTGTGGGGCACGCTCGAGTGAGCACGCGTCTGGCTTTGCCAGGGGGGCACGTGGCACTGACTGACCCTGGGCCTCAGGGGGGCCTGAGCAAGGGCGGTGTGTATGTGTAAGTCAGGCCGTCTGGGAAGAAGGCGTGGGGGTATACTTCCAGCGCTGCTGCGGGAACGCAACGGAGCTCCAGCCAACCGGCCGCGAGCAAGAGGTGCCAGAGGAGGAGAGGAGGAAAAGGAGCAGCAGCGGCAGCAGCATACAAGGACAGTAGCGGGAGTAGAGGAGGAAGAGGAGGGCGAGAACGACCCCAGGCGAAACTTCCCGGGCGAAACACCAACCCAGGCGAAAGCCAACTTGGGCGAAAGCCAACCCGGGCGAAACCCACCCAGGCGAAAGCCAACCCGGGCGAACGCCAACCTGGCGAAAGCAAACCCGGGCGAAAGCCAACCTGGCGAAAGCCAACCCGGGCGAAAGCCAACCCGGGCGAACGCCAACCGGGCGAAAGCAAACCCGGGCGAAACGAACCGGGCGAAAACCAACCCGGGCGAAAACATCTACGCTTAAATTTTGTTTTTTGTTGAGGACCCGCGGAGCGCTGCTTGCGAGACGGACGGCATCCCCACGCCCATGTGCTCCTGTACTCCTCCTCCTCCTCCTCCTCCTCCTCCTCCTCCTCCTCCTCCTCCTCCTCCATCTCCAACTCCATCTCCATCTCCATCTCCATCTCCATCTCCATCTCCATCTCCTCCTCCTCCTCCTCCTCCTCCTCCTCCTCCTCCTCTTCCTCCTCCTCCCTCCTCCTCCTCCTCCTCCTCCTCCTCCTCCTCCTCCTCCTCCTCCTCCATTTCCGCCTCCTCCTCCTCCTCCTCCTCCTCCTCCTCCTCCTCCTCCTCCTCCTCCTCCTCCTCCTCCTTTCCTCCTCGTCCTCCTCCTTCTCCTCCTCCTCCACCTCTCGGCAGTCCACCGCGGCTCAATGTGCCAGAGGGCACGGCAGAGGATGGAAACAGTTAAGTCACCGCCGAGCTTTGGGAGAAAGGCGGGGCTCGTTCCGAAGTCCGCCTCCCATACGTCATCCCTCTTCCCCCCCCCCCCTCGTTCCCTTCATACCCACGTCCTCTTGACGGGGGGATGAAGGATGCGGGATGAAGGGAGAGGAACAGGCAGAAGACGGAGGGGAAGAAGGAACCATGGAGGGTAGGGGATGAGGGGTCGGGGGTGGAGGGTGCAGGGGGGGAGGGGCAAGGCAGGGAACGAGGGAGGGAGGAAAAACGAAAGGAAGACCCGCATTGGGGGGAGAGAAGTGGGGAGACAGGACGAGGAGCGAGGGGGTCGAGTCCGCATGCTCCTCTTTATGGTCATCCTCGTCATCCCCCCTCCTCCTGGAGGGGCCAATCATTTACCTCCCGCAGCAAATCCGTGGCCTCCTGCTGATGCTGCTCTTCCTCCGCCTCTTCCTCCTCCTCCTCCTCCTCTTCCTCCTCCTCCTCCTCATCATCATCATCCTCATCCTCCTCCTCCTCATCCTCATCCTTATCCTTATCCTCATCCTCCTCATCATCATCATCAGCAGCAGCAGCATCATCATCATCATCATCATCATCATCCTCAGCATCCTCATCCTCATCCTCATCCTCATCCTCCTTCCCCTCCTCATCCCGGCTCCAAGATATCCCCCCAGATTCTGGATGTGTGCCTGGAAACATATGTGAAATATCCGTAATTCTCCGAACATGCATTTAACATACCATCCGATTGGTTTCGAATTGTTGCCCTTGCCCCGACCCCCAGCGTCGTGATTTTTGACCGGCGTCGTGATGTTTGACCGTGATCTCAAAACCCCGAGGTCTAGACCCAGGGCCCAGGAAGGGCGCCAGCAAGCCGACGGTCACCGAGAATTGTCCGTTATAAGTTCCTCACAACGTGGCGGGGTTTGGGCCTGAGGGTAAAAAAGGTCGGCGCTCATCTAGGCCTTCTCAATGGGGTCGGAGTAGATGGGGTCGGAGGATCGCGCCGCATCGCCGATGCAACGCCGATGCATCGGCGATGCATTAGCGATGCGGCTCGATGTGGGGTGCAGTGTTCTCCACGCCGGCGTCGCCGATGCATCGCCCACGTCGCCTGTGCATGGCCGACGCGTCGCCGATGCATCGGCGGTGCATCGCCGATGTGTCGGCGATGCGGCGATAACCTCCGACCCCATCGACTCGGACCCCATCTCGAGACGGCTCCACCCGTGGCCACGAGCCTCGCGGAGGCCCAGCGATGCTCTAGGTATCCAACACCACCATCCTCGAAGTTCGGTTCTCGAGGTTGAAGTTAGATATTACATCAACGATGTTCGGTCCTCGAGGTTCGAAGTTAGATCTTCCGTCCACGAGGCTCGGTCCTCGAACTGCCCGCAGGCGCGCCGGGGAGGCTCAGTGTCCTTCCTGGCCGCGCCTCGGCCGCGGACACCCTCCCGAGGAGCGGGCTGGCTGGGGGTCCCGGGGACCCGCGCCCGAAGACGACGAGAACCATAATCCACCACGACGACGAGGACGACGACGACGTCGTCGACGATGATGTTGACGACGGCGATAACGACCACGACGTCGGCAGCGGCGACGACGACGTCGGCAACGGCGGAGATGACGACGGTGGCGACGCGCCAACGCAAGGCGTGGACCGGTGGCTCCAAGACTCGCGGTTCGTCGGGGGGCTGGAGCAGTTGGGGAGCGTCAGCGGTGGTGCCCAGGAACCCAGCGGCTCGGTCGTTGTCGTCGTAGTCGTCGTTATCAAGGGCGCCCTCGAGGGCGCGAAATTCTTCGCGCTTCGGCTCCGATTCCTCCTCATCCTCCTCTTCTCTCCTGGGGGGCGGCGCGAGAGCGCGAGATTAGGCGCCCTTGATTTCCGAGGATATCCAAGGGCTCCCGACGGCGTTGTGAAGTTTCACTGAATTTCATCGTCGTGGTCGTCATTCGATCGTGGCGGCGCGTGGGAGCCCGCGGCTCCGCCGTCGTCGTGGTCACCTCTGACAGCTTCGTCGTCGTCGTAGTCGTCGATCTCCTCCTCCTCCTCCTCCTCCTCCTTCTCCTTCTCCTTCTCCTCCTCCTCCTGCCGCCAAGCCTCGCCGTGAAACATGGTGATCGCTTCCACGCTTGGCACGCAACGTCGTCGGCACGACCATCACCTTCCATCGTAGGTCGTGAGGCGGTGTCCGTCCACCCAGACCGACCGACGCGCCAAATCGAATTATGATTGCTACCCCTGGTCCCCGCAACAGGGTGCAGTTTTGCTGCGTGTAGATGTAGCTGTGTTCGAGAGGAGCAGCAGCAGAGGGAAGAGAGGAGCGAGGAGGGGAGGGAAATGGAGGAGCGAAGAAGGGAGTGGAAGTGATGAGTGAAGAGAAGAGGTAAGAGCAGGAGGAGGAGAGGAGGAGGACCCGTGAAAACCTAAGACGCACCAACGACATTGCAACAAAAGCCTCCCGTTTCCAAGTTCCTTCTTCAGGGCTCCCTGTCAGAATTTGCTTTCACTGCGGGAAGTGCCCCGTTGGAAGACAACCGTTTGAGAACATTCGTACGAAACACAAGTCCTGAGACTTCAGCGCCGCGAGTAAACGTGACTGGTGCGCCCTGACAACCCCAACTCTTGCCAGAAGGAACATCACCCTTGGGACGTAAACACTGTGAAACAACGGGACTGTCGTGGCCTGACAATCGTAAATCATGCCAGAAAACCATTTCTGGGAATTCAAACGCAAGATTTGCATGCGAATTTGCGCGACGCAAAGGCGAGAGCCACATGTTGAAAAGGAACAGCGCTCAATATTTGAAACGGCTGCAAAATCCGAGTACGAATATGCGCAGCATCAGCGTGAGACCCACATGTTGAAAATACCCTGTCCTCCATCTGTGGAACTGCTGCAAACTTTCAAGACGAATGTGCGCGGTGTTGAGGCGAGAGCCACGTCTTGAAAAGGACCCACCCTCCATCCAGGCATTGCGTCGCCACACGTATGTTGCAGTATTTCCGGTCCTCCCAAAATACCAGCGCGCTACAGGCGCGCCTGCCTCCCTTGCAGGGACGCCGTCTCTTCCCGGCGACGGCAGCTTCGTTCGTTCGCTCCACCCTCCATCCGTGAAACTGCTGCCATCTTCTAATACGAGTGCGCGCTGCGCTCGGGCGAGAGCCACGTGGTGAAAACCGCCCGCACTCCATCTGCAAAACAGCTGCAAATTCTTCACGCTTCGCGTATCCCCAGCAGCGCATTCTGAAAGCCTGCCCGTGAAAGCTGAAAGGAAAGTGGACGAAGAGACACATGTAGCGAAGCAAAGCGAATTTTTGTCTTATTCATTGTTTTGCCGATCGGCACGGGCCCTCGCACCCCCCGTCCCCCCCCCATGGAGTAAAGCTTCGCTGTTTGGGGCGCACGGTTGCAAACAGTGGCACTAAGCAGAGGTCCAGAGCCAGATCCCCCCTCTCCTTCCCCCTTTCGCCCAATGTCGTAACATCGAATAAGAAACCTTTCACCAGGGTGAACAGGGAGATCTCTGGGAGCCAGAGGGAGTTGCCTTGGAGGGCTTCTGCAGGCCCATGTGTGGGGTGGGAAGGAGGAGGAGGACGACAACGACAATGCCGACGACGACCACGACGAGGACGAGGAGGAAGAGAAAGAGGAAGACGATGAGGGCAAGGACGAAGACGAGGAGGAGGACAACGAGGACGAGGACAGTGACCTCAAAATCGCCTCTTGGAGATTTCTTGGGGTTCCTTGAGCTATCTTGGAGGCCATCTTGGGCTATCTTGGGCCTTCTTGGGGCCATATTGGGTTATCTTGAGCGCTCGAACCCCTCGGGCCCTCCCCCCATCCAGACCCAGGGACAGGAAAGGAGGTCAACCTCCCCGAAGAGAACACATTAGCCCAAAGGGCAGGTGGGATCTCAAGCTTCAGAATGATAAATGGTGAGGAAATCTCAGGAGAAACGCCCGGACCGCCTTACCCACAAGTTTGGTGGTGCGACATGGAGAAGTTGTTTATTATAAGGAAATGGGATGGAGGAAGAGGACGAGAAGGAGGAGGAGGCAGGACGTGGAATTCTCCAGGCCTGGGGACCAAGGACCGGGGACCAGGGGCCGTGGACCGGGGACCGGGGACCGGGCCCCCCCTCCCCCCCGACCCGTGGACCAGGCGAGCGTGGCCGGGGACACGCTGGTGTTCGGCATCGATGGCTTCGGCTGCGGCCAGCCGCACAGCCGTAGCCGGAGATGCAACGAGACCAGCCAGGCGGCCTTCCCCCTCGACTTCGGCCAGGCCCTGAGATGATGGCGTCGCAGGTTTTCACGACGGGGGATTTTGCCATGTTTTGGGCCCTGGGACCCTGACGGCTGGATCCGGCCGGAGAAGTGCCGCAGAATGACGGGATCCAGGGTTCCAGTCGAGTTCTGCCTACCATGCTTTTACTGCTCGTGACGTCGGATCTCAGGGGGGGAGGAGGAGTCGACAGGGGTGTCCGCAGCTCGGCTCCGTCGGCCGCGTCACAGTCGGCTGCGTTCGGTCGGCTCGGCTCGGTCGTTCACTGCGTCGCTGCGTCCCTCCAGGATGCATTCGGTCCTTCGCTTCTGTCTGTTTCGGTTTCGTCGGTTGGCTTTCGGCTCTGCTGTCGCCGTGGACGCCTGTGGTTGAGACGAGAAAGACCTGAGTCGGGGGAACGTAAGACTCGGGTAAGCCGGAACTCGGGTTTGCCGACGTTTTTTGACGAGCGCGTCCTGGATTTTGACGGTCCAGTTTTCGTGGGATGTTTGCAGTGGGAGTTCGCGTCAAGTTTCAGATGGCGTCTCGTCATTTTTATGATGGCCTCGGCGGGCCAACCCGAGTCCCCCGTACCGAGTCTTACGTCTCCCCGACTGAGGAGGCACGATAGCAGCACAAGGGGCGATCCTGCCCCCGTTGTGGGCCGAGGGACCTTCAGGGATCGATGCGGCTCGAGAGACGCCGCAGGGAGGTGGGGGTGCGGAAGCTCGTGGCGTGGCTTGTGAACGAAGTTGCTGTTATGGCAGTTGCTCGGCCAACAGCGGGCTTTCCGGCTTGGATGCTGCTCAGGAGAGGTACGGTCGGGGCCCTGGAGAAGGAACCCTTTTCGTTGGGGAGGGGCTCGGTGTTCCTTGCTTGTTTCACAGCTTGCCTTAGGTTGTTCGGTTCCTTATTTAGGGCTCCTTATTTGGGGTTCCGTATTTTGGGTTCCTTAGGTCAGCGCCCCGACTGTATGGTCGGGGTGGTGCCAGGAGGGTGTTCATCCTGCTGCCGATCTCAATTCAGCCGGCGTCGGCCGAGGCACGCATCTGCCTGCACGTCTGCGGAGGCGTCGGCCGAGGCGTTGGCGAGAATGTCGGCGTGCCTCCGTCTTCGGCTGGCTTCGGCCAGATCCGAGGCCCTAGACCCTGGAGGGGGCACAAACCCTCGCGTTCCCCGCTCCCTCGCCTCTGTGTACAGCGCCACTATCGAGTCTCCCCACACACGCGCGCACGCGAGCGATGCTGAAAGAGACGGGGCACCACAGGGCCCACGGCGCCGACATTCGCGCGCACGCTGCACGCGCACGCGAGGCCGCGCGCAAGCGCTGCCTCTCTTCAGGAGCAGCCTGCCGCTCTGGCGTGCTGCGTGAGCCAGCGCGCAGGGACCTGGACACGCGAGGAGCTCGGCTGGGGCGGCGCTCGGGCTGGCCGCGCGGCGGCGGGAGCACTGGCCGAGGAGCCCGGCCGAGGGAGGGCCTGGCCCCCGCGGCGTTCCGCCCCCCTTCGACGAGGAGCACCGCGGCCAGAGCCGTATCGTCGCCACACGCCGCGCCGAGCGGCGCTTTGTCCCCTCCGCCTCCCCCTGACGCCGCTGCGAGGGAGGAGGAGCTGGAAGGAGCAGGTGGAGCGAGGCGGGGAGAGAGAAAGAGAGAGAGAGAGAGAGAGAAACAGGAGGAAGAGGAGGCAGTGGAGGAGGCGGAGAGGGGAGGAGAGGAGATGAGGAGGAGGAAGAAGTGAGGAGGAAGAGGGAGAACGAATTGGAGCGTCAGAGGAGCAAGAAGTGGAGGGAGGAGGAAGCGGGAGGAAGAGGGAGGAGGGCAAAGGATGAAGGAGCGAGGAGGAGAGGGGAGCAGGAGCACGAGGAGACGGCACAGGAGCCCTCGCCGATCCTGGGCCCTCTCACGACACACAGAAATTATTGAGAGGGGGCCTGAACTTGCGGTAGCGACGGAGCCAGCTTCTATCCTGCTTAGGAGCAGGGCGCCGCCGCAGCCGACGACGACAACGACGACGACGACGACGATGACGACGACGGCGACGACCGCGGCGGCGGCGACGGCGACGACGACGGCGACGTCAACGACCGACGACGGCGGCGGCGACGGAGGCGACGACGGCGACGTCAACGACCGACGACGGCGGCGGCGACGGAGGCGACGGCGGCGACGACGGCGGCGGCGACGGCAACGACGACGACGGCGGCGGCGGCGGCCGTGGCGGCGGCGACGACGAACGGCGGCGGATCCCGCACCCGAAAGTTTAGGCGCTGCTGCAGCACCTCTTCTCCGGGACCTGGAAGCCCGCGCCGTGGCAGCCGTGGGAGGAGAGCTTGCGGCGCTCGCTTCCACGGCAGCGGGCGCGCGGGTCCACCACGACGACGGCATTTGCCACGGCGGCGACGACGACGACGACGACGACCACGACGACGACCACGACGACGACGAAGCCGGCGTTCCCGGTCCTCGCTCATCCCGCGCCGTGGCGACGGCGGCAGCGGCGGGCGGCGGAGTTGTTGGTTTGACCACAGCCTCGGGCTCGCCATATCATCCTATCTTGGCTCTGTTCCTTATGGTTGGCCTTCACCGGTGTTGGGGGTGTGAGTCCGTGGAAGCCTCCGTTGTATAAATGTACCGTTTGGTGCAGTTGCAGTCGTGTTCCTCCTGTGTGACCACCCGCCCCCTCTCTCCGAGGTCTGGGCGATCGGGCATTCTCGTTACCCCCCTGCTCTTCCTGATACTGCTCATTCTGCTGTTCCTGCTCTTCGTCGTCCTGATACTACTGCTGGTTTACAAGTGGCCTCCTCCAGAATCCCTGGTATCTCTTGGGGGGGGCATGTTTTGTCTCCGCCGGCTGAGCCGCCCCAGTTTTACTTCCGCCAGCTTTCCGCCGCCTTCCGCACCGGAAGAGGAGTCACGTTCTCGATCCCTCGAAGGCGAGGCCCTTCCTGGAACGCCCCGAGTGGGGAATGCTTGTCTTTCTCTTTGGACCAGCAAGTAGATGACAATAGATTATGGACATACCCACTTTGTTTTGAGGACCCGAGTGATTCGTCCTCCTCTGTCTTCTACTCCCATCTCCTCCTTTTTCTCAGTCCTCCCCGCTCCCCATCCCTTTTGGATGCAGCAGGCTATACCGAGTCCTCATGGAAGTGCACGCGAACCCCAGTCAGCACCACATCCTATCTACATGCTCGCACGTCATGCTTAGGCGCCTTGGCCGCGTTTCCTCCTCCTTCTCCTCCTCCTCCTCCTCATCATCATCATCATCATCATCCCTCTCCTCTTCTTCCTCCTCCTTCTCTCTTGCTCGCCCGTTCTCTTGAAATCTCCTGCTTCCGTTCGCGTCTGCGCGATGGCAGGTCCCAGGTGAGTAGCTTGCTGGCTTCGTCTGATCGCAAGTGGTTGGTTTCTGTGTGGCTTGGGGGAGGAGGGTGAAGAAGAGGGGAGGAGGAGGAGGAGGAGGAGGAGGAGGAGGAGGAGGAGGAGGGGAGGAGGAGGAGGAAAAGCAGGAGGAGCAGGAGGAGCAGGAGGAGGAGGAAGAGATGATGACGTTGCGTTGCTTCTGTCACGGCGATTGCTAGAAGCATTCGTGGGCGCTGTCCAACTTGCATCCCATCCGGTAGTGTGTAGTGCGGGGGCCGGTCTGGCAGGTGGTGGGCTGGAGACTCCGAACCGAGCTGCTCGCCAGCTGCCACGAATGAACGATAAACAAACCAGCATGCGTGTTTGCGCTGTCAAGCCAGGTGATCGTTTTCTTGTTCGTTGTTTTGCCGATCGGCGCGAGCCCTCGGATCCCCCTCCCCCCCCGCCCCGTGCAGTAGATCTTGGCTGTTTTTTTGCGCCTGTTTCAGGCAGGTGGAGCCCCCTCCATAGGACGCACTGCTGCAAACTGTCGCATTAAGCAGAGGTGCGGATCCAACCCCCCCCCCCCATTCATCCCCCTTCCGCCCAATGTCGAAACGCCGAATGAGGAAACGCTCACCAATGGATATGTGTCGCTGGGGCAACCCGAGTTTTGCGTGCTGCTTCGTTGGTGGCGAGGCGCATCCTGCGGCTCGCCCACTGCGCAGGGCGCGAGGGCGCGAAGAGCGAAGCGCCAAGGGGGAGATTACCTCCTCCTCCTCCTCCTCCTCCTCCTCCTCCTCCTCCTCCTCCTCCTCCTCCTCCTCCTCCTCCTCCTCCTCCTCCTCCTCCTCCATTCCTTTTCCTTAGAAATAAGTTCTCCCTGTCGCACCCCGAGGCCAGTTTTTAGGGCGGGCTGGGCGTTTCGCCTGAGACTTCCTCACCACTTATGATTCTGAAGCTTTGAAATTGGCATTGGCAACAGTTTCACAGGTGGAGGGCGGGTGGTTTTCAAAATATAGCTCTCGCCTGTGCGCGGCGCACATTCGTTGTTTTGAAATTGCAAGACCTTCACGGATTGAGGGCGGGTCGTTTTCAAAATGTAGCTCTCGCGTCAGCGCGGCGCACATTCATTCTAAACATTCGCAAGAGTTTCACGGATTGAGGGCGGGTGGTTTTCAACATGTGGTTCTCGCCTTAGCGCGGCGCACATTCGCTTTTCAAAATGCAAGAGCTTCACGGATTGAGGGCGGCTCTTTTTCATCATGTGGTTCTCGGCTTAGTTCCGCGCACATTCGTTTACAAAAGTTGCAAGAGTTCCACGGATTCCCATCACCAACGTACCAGAAATTGTGTTTTGAAAGGATTCATGATTACGCAGGCGCAACAGTTACGTTGATTCGCTGTGTTGAAGTCCCAAGAACGACATTCTGGTACGATTCAGGATCGTCAGCACGCAACAGTCAGGTTGATCCGTCGCGCTGGAATCACGAAAACAATGCTTTGGCATGCTTCGGGGTCTTCAAACGGCTATTTTCCAACGAGGCAGTTCCCCCAATGGAAATGAACCGTTGTGGGGGCCTGTGAAGAGGGAGCTTGGAGGGAGGGTTTCTTACAACATCGTTGATGACTCTTGGGTTTACACTGGTCCTCCTCCTACACCTCCTCCTCGTTATGC